GTGTGTGTGTACTCACCTAGTTGTGTTTGCGGGGGTTGAGCTCTGGCTCTTTGGTCCCGCCTCTTTGTGTGTGGAAGCATGTATCTTCATCTGCATATTTTTTCTCTTGTGTCCACATGTTTCCTGTAAACCCTGGAGGATATTTCCGTGCCATCTGAAGCCCCATCAACAGCACATTAGGAATAACCCACCCCGAGACCAGTTATATATAGTGGAAGCCTATGTAACACTACCTTAACCTTCACTGCAGCTCATGGGTTTAAACAAAATTGTTCGATCTGTCTGTCTGTCTCTGTCTGCCTGCCTGCCTGTCTGTCTGTGCCCCACTGTAACACACACTCAAGAATCCCAAGAGTCCTCCCCGTTGTCGATAGGAGATATTGATTTCTGGTTAGGCTTCAGGTTGCTGCGAGTGTGTGGCTTGTTGGGTTATGGCTCAGTCACTTGTGTATATGTGGCTTGTTGGGTTATGGCTCATCTACATGTGTATACGTAACTTGCTGGGGTGTGGCTCATCTACGTGTGTATATGTGGCTTGCTTGGGGGACTGTCTGAAGTGTGCCACAGTTTCTATGGAATATATTGAGCCGTTTCCTGTTAGAAATTAAAGTGCAGAGTTGATGCAGTAGACAGTAGACATGTTCAGACATGCATACCGTCTGGGGGTCCACGCTGGATTATCCCAAAGTTTATAATCCCACTGTTTATAATTTTTTTTTTTATCTTTATTTAAGAAAATATAATATAAATCACATATACATAAGTTTTACAAGGCAATTATACATTACAATTCGTAGTGAACAAGTGTTTCAGTAGTACAGAACATGATCTTTAAAAAAAAACCTGAATGTTATACTTATTTATCTATTAACGATTTAATTTGTTTTTAATACATTCCACACAGTGACTCTAAAACCATCGGGGCAAATAATTCAGTGGTAAACGATAACGAGGAATTTCCAATATGAAATTGATATTGTCAGTTCACAATAGTAATTGATATGACCGCTGTTTACCCAATAATTTGTGTGGTCTCCAGACTGAATGGAGACTTCATTTACAATTAGTGGCGCAATATACATGTGCAGTTATTATACAATGTGCTTAATACACTTTATAACAAAAGCATAACATAGGCATTTAGGTTCCCCGGTCCTAACTTATCACAAGAATGCTGGTGTCCCCATTCTTGCTTATCTTGACGGGAAACGACATCCTGTCCCAGTAGGCTACAAGATGATGCGTTATTTTTCCCTTTGTCATCTGACCGAGCATTACTGAGTGGGGAAACTTTGCTGATGTTCTAACATAGTCTAACCTGTGTAACTATTTCATCAATACTGTAACTTCGTTAGGATAAACGAATTTTAAAGGTAACTTCCTGAACTAGGTTCCAGAAGATGAGAGGAAATGTCAACACTGGAGAAATGCCCGACAGACCACTGGAACATTATCTAACGCAGTGCATTGTTACAAAATAAACAAGATTTCAATTAAGATTCAACAGAGTAGAAGTTGTTAAACACATTGGGCATAATTTAATCATAAATACTCCGCCTAAGTAAATAAAACAAGAAACAAGTAAGAGTTAGTGGGTCAGCCAGAGGCTTAGGGGCCCTCACAGGAATATCACCACCACAAAAAAATTAAATCTTCAACTCATGTATCCTTGTAACCGTTCCTACAACCACTCACAACACGAACTAAACAAATTTTAATCGTGTGCTAAACCTATGGAAAAGCTTACCAAATTATATCATTCATTGTAATATCATATATAAATATACTTTAAAAAAATTGAAGCTTCCATAAACAAAGCCTAGTTTAGATCTAATGGTAAGTTACTATTTTAGTTCCACTACAATTTGTCAACATGTGCTTTAAACATAACACTAAGTAGAAACACGTAAGCAAACAAAAGCTTTTAGAGGAAATTAGGTACTGGCGTAGAGGTGCAATGTTGCCGCGGCGCCGCGCTGGTGACGGGAGACCCCGGCCACCACCAGACCCGGCGTCGCCGCCCTGTCTATGGCACCAACACTTACACTAATACCAGTCCTTCATGTGCGCACTCAACTCTGCCCCCCCCCCTCACTCACTCTCCGCACTCACTGTCGCCACACTCACTGTCTCCACACACACTGCCTATCCAACCACTTGGGCTGGACGGTAGAGCAACGGTCTCGCTTCATGCAGGTCGGCGTTCAATCCCCGACCGTCCAAGTGGTTGGGCACCATTCCTACTCCCCGTCCCATCCCAAATCCTTGTCCTGACCCCTTCCAAGTGCTATATAGTGGTAATGGCTTGGCGCGTCCTCCTCATAGTTCCCTTCCCTTCCACACTCGGTGTTTGTCATGCAGGAGGAACACAGCATCATGCACCATCACGCGACAAAAGCAACTTGCTTAGGGGATTCATTACTTAATGTGAAACTATATTTGTTACTTGTTTCATTATAGAGGTCAACATGTATGGAGAGACGTAGTGTCGCTAGAGTAGCTTGCTGTGTCATGTGGTGGTGTGGGGGAGCTGTGGTGTGGGGGAGCTGTGGTGGTGGTGTGGGGGAGCTGTGGTGTGGGGGAGCTGTGGTGGTGGTGTGGGGGAGCTGTGAGAACCATGATGCAACAGTGCATTGTGGGTTTAGTATAAACTAGCATTTAATGTGTACTTATTTACTCCTTTACATGTCTTGCAATAGAGTTTCATGTGTTTGGACCAAGATATTTAACAGACCATTGGGTATTGACAAATCGTAAGTATATTCTCCAGATTGTCTTATATACTGAAGTAATATTATGTCTTTAAAATCATTTATAGATCCTTGGCTCACAGTCGAGGGACATTGGTAGGATAGAAATGGTACGGGGACATTTCCTTTCACCTGATACCTTTGTTCACCTAAAAGTTGAATATGTACCTGGAGTTAAGCCACTGTTGTGGGTTGCATCCTGGGGAAGGTCAGTATTTGGCCAATGCTGAGCTGTATAAGACAAAGCACAGACGTCATGTGCTTTGTGACACGTGACGTGACGGGGACGTCACGTCACGAAAACTAGGAGTTTGAGCTCTTGTGATATATGTTGAGAAATGGTAAAAATAGTTATTTCAGGGTTAGCGTGCACTTGTCTCGAAGTCATACCATAAACTGCGTATATTTGCAGCTTCGTAGTAACCTAATGGCAATTTTATCAACTATAATTGAAAATGTAAACTCTGAGAAAATGTATATCAAGAGGTCAGTATCTTAACTATTTCTTATTAATTTTTTTTTGTTTCAAGATGATACATCTAAACTTTGCTAGTCAAATAGTATCCCGACCTCGGGGACACAGAACCTGTACTTAGCCTTATTGAGGTCTTCCTAGGCCATCTATACTGACTTTTCCCAGGATGCAACCCACAACAAGAGTAAGGGGAGACATGATAACCACCTACAAAATTCTCAGGGGAATAGTACCCAGATGAGTCATAGAGACGTTAGAAAGAATTTTTTTCAGTGTCAGTGTAGTTAATAAATGGAATGTACTAGGCAGTGATGTGGTGGAGGCTGACTCCATACAGTTTCAAATGTAGATATGATAGAGCCCAGTAGGCTCAGGAATCTGTACACAGTTGATTGACAGTTGAGAGGCGGGACCAAAGAGACAAAGCTCAACCCCCGCAAGCACAATTAGGCGAATACAATTAGGTGATTAGGTGAGTACAACAGTTGTTTAACTCATGGGTACCTATTCAACTACCAGATAAACAGAAGCATCAAGTGAAACGAAACGTTGCCCAAAAGTTTTTGTCCTGTCATGTGACTGAACTCAGGATCCTCGATTTTGGGCCGACGATGTAGACTACTGTGCTAAGGAAGCCTATAATAGTCTGTGATAATATAAAGCTTAACTAAACAGAAGCAAGTGTAAATACCACCATCAGGGTCGGATAAGGTTGCGCAATATGAAGTTCAGACCTTGAGGTGACAAGTTACACTGTGGTTGTCAGTCACGCACTTCACACCTCCAGGTGGATATTACTTTACTCCTGGATCTTTTTACATGTCGATTACTTTATAAATGGATTACTTCACACGTGGATCCCCTTACGCACATTAAGTCCCCGATTTCATTTCAGACTTTGTCCCATTTTATGAAAATAGTATGTGGGAGTAGGGCGTAGGTTCATATTTCTTAAAGCATTTAACATAGGCCTACCCCGACCAGCCTATGTCCGCCCCGTACCTTAGACCATTCCACCTGCAAATTTGGGTAAGGCTAGTCCAAGCGTCTGACCTTCAAATTTGGACAGACATTCTCTCTTATAGGTACAAATATACACAGGCTTCGAGTCCCCGACAACGGGAATTAATTTAATTACTCAGTTATGCCCGAAATGTCGATCACAACTAGTAGCTATATCAAATAAACAAAGACTTATTCATACTAGTACTTTGTTAACAAAACAAAATCGAGTTCTTATGGTGTAAGGAGTATCGTTTGCGTTATTAAATGCTACTAGGATACACGAGGAAATAAGAAACAACAAAATTAAACAATAACAATCCAAATTAGGTTAGTTACCTATTTACAGTGTCTTTTTATTTCGTTTTCTTTGGAAGAAATTTGAATTAAATATATAAAGTACATTTAAGGATTTGCTTTTCAGTTATTCAATTGTGTTTTAATTTCGATTATTTATTAGTTAATTTAACTTGTTTTATGAATAACTAAAGGGATATGAATGCAAACGTTTGCTGGGACAATCATATTTGGTGATATATTAAAAACGGGTCACGAGCCGGATATAAACAAGGGTCAGTAGTGGTGTTTTGAGTGTGTGATGGCCTCTGGTTGTGGCCACTGTAGTCCTAAGTGGCCACACCTGCAGTGTGACCAGGCTATACTGGCCACCCATCACCCTCCACCTTCTCTCCCACTCAGGTTACCGGGGTGGATCAGATTCCTGGGTTGTCGTCGACATAAACTCGACTTACACTTGTCTGAAGACTGCTAATTCAGATTTATTTATTTATTTATTTATTTTATTTATATATATACAAGAAGGTACATTGGGTTTGTGAGAATACATTGGATAGTACAGTATTTACATTCTTGTAAAGCCACTAGTACTCGCAGCGTTTCGGGCAGATCACACTTACCTGGAGACGGCGCTGTAGGACAGCCTGAGAGAAGAGAGATGAGAGATGTTGCCGTGATGCGGGCACCGTCTGGGGTCACGGGAAGGTTGATAAGATTTCTGTGTGTACTGGGTGGGTCACGGGGATCATCTCCCGTCACGCAGGGTGCAGCCGCACCTCCACAGATCTCCAATATCATCTGTTGATACTGGTAATGGCTCAAAAGGGCCACCACTTACGGCCACCTTTTGGGTGGCTTAATCTTCATCAATCAATCACTGGGTGGGTGACGGTTCAAGGCTTTGTCCACCACTCGGTGGGTGTAGGTGCTCCCTGGCAACACTTCCTTTTTCTGTCAACAGTCGATGATTTTCTTAAGGAAATCTAATGAAAAGTCTTAATACAGACTAAGTCAATTGCAGCCCTTAAATCCCATTAACTTCTCATGGGCAGGCAGGTGTGTACATCTGGCCAGGTAACTGAAATATAATAATTAGTCATGTTGGGACGTGATTCCCACTCTCAGGGACAGAAAGCATGCATGTACAGTATTTATAAAAAAAATATAAATAAATTGATAGATATAGAAATAGATCTATCTACATGTTTCTCTTTTGAAGTTTCTCTTTTATTAACTGTTGTAAGGTACACAAGTCTAAAATAGTGCCACAACTTAGCATTGAACCCAGTCTAAGGCTGACCCAGTACCACTCCGGCAAGTCCTATCTTAATTAACTGGTAACCTGACCCTATTGGGGTTTGTCTAACCTGACTCATGACCAGATGCTACTACTGCCTGCTCTAACCTACCCGTATCCTACTAGACTGCCTTAACCTAGAACCATACCTTGAAATCATGATGGAGCACCACTTGGTAAATGGAATTTAATATGAATAAATGCCATATTATGGAATGTGGAAAAGGAGAACATAGACCCCACACAACCTGTAAATTATGTGATAAATCTTTAAAGAATTTGGATAAATAGAGAGATCTAGGGGAAGGGGGTGGTTCTTGATAGAAAACTATCACCTGAAGATCACATAAAGAACATCGTATGAGGAGCCTATGCTACACTTCCTAATTTCAGAATTGCTTTTAAATGCATATATGAATGGTGAAATACTAAAGAAATTGTTCATGACTTTTGTTAGGCCAAAGCTGGAATATGCAGTGATTGTATGGTGCCCATATCTTAAGAAGCACATCAACAAACTGGATAAGGTGCAAAGACATGCAACTCAATGGCTCCCAGAACTGAAGGACAAGAGCTACAAGGAGAGGTTAGAGACATTAAATATGCCAAAACAAGAAGATAGAAGAAAAAGAGGCGATATGATCACTACGCACAAAATAGTAACGAGATTCAATAAAATTGATAGGGAAGAATTCCTGAGACCTGGAACTTCAAGAACAAGATGTCATAGATTTAAACTAACTAAACAAAGCTGCTGAAAAAACATAAGAAAATTCACTTTCACAGAGTGATAGATGGTTGGAACAAGTTAGGTGAGAAGGTGGTGGAGGCCAAAACCGTCAGTACAGTAGTTTCAAAGCGTTATATGACAGTGCTGGGAAGACGGGACACCACGAGTATAGCTCTCATCCTAAAACTACACTTAAGTAATTACACAAGTGGTTAAAGCAGGGAAAGAGAATGAATTAAGGAAATATTTCCATAACATGTAAAATAATCAGGATGAACACTGACAGTAAAGAATTCAAAAGCCCCATGTGTGTATGGAATTCAATCCAAAGCCATATTAATATAATGGAACTGACTGAGAAACTGTGTCTACCACTGAAACTTTTTAGAAAATCTCTGAACCAAAGCATAGGTGATAGACAGAGGGCCTATCTGTGGATGCATATATAGTATAAAAAAAATTACAAGTAATCTGAAAAATGTTTAATTTTGCAAATGAGTTTAAAATATTAAGCAATTATTTAAAAAATGCTTTATACCCTGCCTTGGAAAAGGAATTACCGGAAAAATAGGCAGATGGATCTACAATTTCCTGACCAACAGAACCCAATGTGTAATAGTCAACAAAATAAAATCCAGCCCATCAACCGTGAAGAGCTCAGTCCCCCAGGGTACTGTGCTTGCTCCAGTACTTTTTCTCATCCTCATTTCGGACATAGACAAGAACACAACCTATAGCACTGTATCATGCTTTGCAGATGACACTAGGATCTTCATGAGAGTAGGCAACATAGAGGACACGGCGAACCTCCAGTCAGATGTAGATCAGGTCTTTCTATGGGCTACAGAAAATAATATGGTGTTTAACGAAGATAAGTTCCAGCTCATGCGCTATGGAAAAAATGAAAATATAAAAACGGAAACCACGTACAAAACTCAGGCAAATCATAACATAGAACGAAAAGGCAATGTAAAGGATCTGGGTGTACTCATGTCGGAAGACCTTACCTTTAAAGAACACAATAAAGTAGCTGTCACAACTGCAAGAAAAATGACAGGTTGGATAACAAGAACTTTTTACACTAGAGATGCTATACCGATGATGATACTTTTCAAAACGCTTGTGCTCTCTAGAGTGGAGTACTGCTGCACAATGACAGCACCTTTCAAAGCTGGAGAAATTACTGACCTGGAGAGCGTGCAGAGATCCTTTACTGCTAGAATCCACTCAGTAAAACATCTAAACTATTGGGACCGACTAAAGAGCCTAAAACTGTACTCCCTTGAGCGCAGGCGGGAGAGGTACATAATAATTTACACGTGGAAAATATTAGAGGGGCTGGTCCCAAACCTGCACACAGAAATAACATCACATGAGACCAGAAGACATGGCAGGATGTGCAGAATACCCCCGTTGAAAAACAGAGGTGCAACTGGTACTCTGAGAGAGAACTCTATCAACATCAGAGGTCCGAGACTGTTCAACACGCTTCCACTACACATAAGGGGCATAACTGGCCGACCCCTCACAGTGTTCAAGAGAGAACTGGATAAGCACCTCCAAAGGATACCTGATCAACTAGGCTGTGACTCGTACGTCAGGCTGCGAGCAGCCGCGTCCAACAGCCTGGTTGATCAGTCCGGCAACCAGGAGGCCTGGTCGACGACCGGGCCGCGGGGACGCTAAGCCCCGGAAGCACCTCAAGGTAACCTCAAGGATATAAGTACCAGTGTACAGAATTTTATATTGCCTGTAATTAAATTCGATTGTCAATCTCTGGCCTTCAAATTTTAGTCAGTCTTTATCCCTTAATTGTTGTTATTGTAATGAGAACAAATGCAATGTCAATAAGGGTCACTAAAGATACCAAATGTGACCTCAAAATAATTTTTTCTGTATTTTATTGGGTGCAATGATGCAAAAGGCACCCACAAATCTTATTATAGTTAATGGCTTATGTATAATATTTTTTCTTTTAGGAAATACAGTATTAGTCAGATATGTGTGTCTTTATATTTTTAGGAATTTATGTGCAGAATTTGAAATAGTACAGTATTTGATTGAAATGTGTGGTCTGAGTGGATTTTATAGTACGTACAGGTATAAGGATACTTTAGCTAATGTCTAAGGAATTTTCTCTTTTCAGTGTTTTTTGACACGAACATTATGGCCCAATCAAGTTTAAAGCAGTATCTCCGCACCCTTCGCTGGACTCCCTTACCTGTTGGTGTTGGTCTAGCACTAATTGCATTCCAACAGTACAGACACACTCGGAAGAGGGAAGCGGCAAAACTTGGTCAGTTGGAACCATGTAACTGCTTGGCTGATGAATGGGAAGTTGAAGCTTACAAGCTTCTACCTCTTCGATCATTCTCAAGAGCCTGGGGATGGGTAAATGGTATGTTCTGAGTTCAACAGTCTTGTATTGTTGTATGTAATTATTACTACAGTATCTCTTTTTATAAAAGTAAAATTTGTTTTACATATGAATGAATGGCCCTGAATATCTTGATTAATCCTTACTCTGGGTGTTTATAAAGCCAGCATTGAATGTAATGAAACGCCATTTTCTGGGTGAGCCCCGGAGGCTCCCTGGAGCTATTGGACTGGTGTGCAATATACTGTATTAGTCTAGGGCATAAGTCAATGGAATTCAGTCTACTGGGAACCACGAGCAAGAACCTGGTCCCCCCCTCAAAGAGGCAAGGGAGCAATGGCTTCTGGAAACCCCCCATGTGGTTGGGGGAGGGGGCATTCCTTGTCTGCCATCGACCGGGGTTAGGCACCCAGAAAGGTAGGCATAACAAAATAAACCCCACTTGGGAAAAAAATTGCAACTGAAAACTAAACAGGGATGCAGAACTCCCCCAACTCTCAAGTAAACAAGCAAACATCACATCACTGCCGCCACGCCACTCGTCCATGCTGCCCCCCCTGGGAGGAGCCCCAGACCCTCGCACCAGCTGTGTCAACCCCCGGTTCGGAAGCTGAGCATCAAAAGCAAAACAAAACCGCTAAGAGGGACTTACCCGGGAGGCGGCCACCACGCACTCCTCAACTCGAAGTTGAGATAACTGGCAGTAACCTGCGACTCACAGCCACACACGAACTCCCAGGACCAGGAATGTGTACCAAATAATGGGCAGCCAAGACCCGGTTTGATCTCTAAAATCCCCACGCTAGAATGTCACCCCAAGACATGTTGCCGAAGACGACAGCCAAAGTAGCCAGGTTTATTAAGTCGAGCCAGCCTGCGGTCTATCCTCGTGCCCATGTTGCTCGTAATGGGCACAAGGATAGACTGCAGGCTAACTAGACTTAATAACCCTGCGAACGACCTGGGAGACCCGAGCCCTAGAACAGGGAACATGGGAAACTGAATCAACCCAAAGCGCGTTCCCGGCTGTGGAGGCCGAGGCACGCAGATAACGGTGAAGAGCCGCAACTGGACACAACACATGATGCACCCTTGGCCTGACCAACCAAGCATCAATGACTCAAGGGCCTCTCCGGAAAGCCACCATCTTGTTCTTCGCCAGAAAAATAGGAGATGGCTGCAACCGAACAAACCGACCACCAGGACCGAAAGAGCAGAAACCCCTGCATTGGAGGAGAGCACGAAGCTCGCAAAGCCCAAGCAGGGGCAAACAGCCCCAGAACTGCTAGTAGGCTCCCCCCAAAGCCCTGGGAACCCCCAACAAAGGCCTCTGGGCAGAGACGTCCTCCACGCCCTCTACCGCTGAAGAAAAGGCATAGTCCAGGGAAAAGGCAGCAAAGAAGAAGGTCTGCTGGTAGGACCCAGAAGCCTCGGCTGGAGGAGCAGGCTCGAATGCCTACTTCCCAAACCGGAATGGGGCAGCCCTCGAAACCGCCCAAGTCTCATCACTAATTGAACCCTGCCCCGACCTCGAAACCCGCAGACGTTTTGGAGCCGGTAGCAGGGGGGGAAGGGAAGATGGAGTGAACAATGCTTAACCAAAATGGGGCAGCCTCAAGGCATCCTAGTGGGCAACCAACTTAGCGCGTTGCAGCAAACTAAACTGAGCAACGCAGATGCTGCCTGTACCTGAACCTCAGTAACACGAAAATGGGCAAATGGGAGCACGGGCAGAGAACACGTCTCGCAAGACTCCGGGTCAAAGGTGTCATTGACCCAGCAGGCAGCATGACAGTCACCAGTTTTGCCTGTCACCCTGAGACAAAGGCACACAGCAACCTTCAAACTTGCATGAGGCAAGCCAGAACCCAGAAGACTCAATCATCGGTCCACCGAGCCCCGACAGGATTTTCCAGGGCCCGTAGGCTGACTGCTACAGGAAGCCCAGGCAAGGTGTTGCAAAACCGGTTAAACCCAAGAGTTAACAAGGGGAATGAGCTAAAACACTGAAACACTGCGATGTGTACATGCATAGGGGCCTAGCGGAGGGCCACCAAAATATCATAAGTGGACCGATGGCCAAACAAGGTAGACCTCCACCTGGCAAAGAAATTTTTAATAAAAACCCTGCAAAAGTACAACGTCCCCAGAGGAAACAGGAACACGGCTGCTGCATAGGTAGGCAAGCTGCACAACACCTTGCGCCCCAACCAGCAACACCACCACTTCTTACCCAAGGCCAAACAAAGGCCACAAAACCCCAGCTGGCCCCAAGGGCGGAGTAAATGCCGAGCAGCAAGAGCCCCTATGAAAGTGGAGTCCTAAAGGCACTATGGAAGAAACCATGGGCCCTCCATTAATTAATTAAAGAACAGGCAGGACAGAGGTGTACTTGATCCTTAGTTTTTTATGCAGGCACTCATAATGAAGGAAGAAAAATTTATAAATGTATAAAATAGTAAGAAACAATAATGAAAGACTTTTTACATTTCTTCTTTCCAGGACTTGAATTACCTGAATGGTCTAGGAAGTCTGTACTTGGTCTCTATGTTCGAACCTTTGGTTGTAACATGGCTGAGGCAGAAGTAGAAGATCTTGGTAAATACAAGTGCCTCTCGGAGCTCTTCCGACGCTCGCTAAAAGATGGGTTGCGTCCAGTAGATGCTTCTGCCTGTGTGGTGAGCCCAGTTGATGGCAGGATTTTGTCTTTTGGTGCTGTTAGCTGTGGAACTCTGGATCAAGTTAAGGTAAATTTTGTTTATATACAGTCACAAAACTGCTGTTATAAGTTTTATTTTAATACAGTATAAAACAAATTTATGATTTTATGAAACTTTTCTTTCATTCAGCCAATTGGCCCTAAACTGCAAATAAGGTTAGAGTAGGGTCTTCATAATCTTATGTTTGTTTCAAGTAAAATATAAAATAGTTTTAACAAAATATTGAGTAATTCTATAGTATGACTCGAAATAGAAGTTTATGTATAAAATGACACTGCATAATCAAGTCTGAAGATGCAACAGCTATGGGGGGAGGGGTGTTTCACCAATTGCAGCTGGTTTTAATGATATGTGACCTCTGATCTGTATGTAATTAGTGTAGGTTCCTGCTGAGTGCCTGATTCTGTGAGTTTAGTGGTCCTAAGGACCATACTGCTTTCCTTTTTGTTTTCATAGTTGTTGACCATTCTTGCACTTATTGTCTTAGTCCAACCACTTGGTCTGGATGGTAAAGCGACGGTCTCGCTTCATGCAGGTCAGCATTCAATCCCTGACCCTCCAAGTGGTTGGGCACCATTCCTTTTCCCTGTCTCATCCCAAATCCTTATTCTGGTTCCTTCCAAGTGCTATAGCCATGATGGCTTGGCACTTTCTCCTGATAAGTTCCCTTTCCTTCTCTAAATTTACTTGGTTGCTTTGGCTTGCAATGAGGTTAGCCACCTTCCCTGACCCTGTGTACCTGTAGGGCTTCTACCTGAGGAGGGTAAGTTTGATTGATTAATGGGTGTTTAGTTACAGTTGGTTTATCAATTTCTTGTTCCTAGGGATCCTTTGGAAGGGGGTTTTGATTTTTTAAATATTTGTTTGTCATAATAATTAGCCAGTGGTCAGCACAGTGCATGTATTGAACTGAGGTATGTCCCTTCCTGGGATAAAACAATTTGAAAATGTACTAGTCCTGCTGGGGCTAAAAGTTACTTAGTCTAGTAAACTAGTAGTGTCCTCAGAGGGGTCTGTGCCGAGGCATAGGTGAATTATTGAGGTGTCATTCAGAAACGAGACATTCATTTCACAAAATGCCCTAATTATTTGTTATGACATGCTTAGGTAACATTCTTCATTTGCTAGGAATGACTGATGACCGGTGACTTAACCCTACATCAATTATAGTGCAGTATTCATATCACAATTTTTTTTTATTAATATTAATAATATATATTATTACTTATTGTACAATTATATTAACCAATCTTTCCAGGGTGTGTCATATCCTTTACGAAAGTTTCTTGGTCCCAATTGTTGGAGTGAGGGAGGGCCCATGGTGGTGAATAAGGATGATGATGACTGTTTCCACCGTACGTGCCTCAGAGATTGTGATACTAACATGCTTTACCAGTGTGTTATCTACCTAGCTCCTGGTGACTACCACCGTTTCCACTCTTGTGCTGATTGGAAAGTGATATTTCGGCGGCACTTTCCTGGAGAACTATTAAGTGTAAATCCAAATATTGCAGCATGGGTGAGGAACCTGTTTATTCTAAATGAAAGAGTCAGTTATGTAGGACAGTGGAAGCATGGGTTCTTTTCCATGACAGCAGTTGGTGCTACTAATGTTGGGTCTATTAAAGTGTATTTTGATGAAGAACTCAGAACCAACGAGAAAAAATTGAACAAAAGTTTTCACGATAAGCATTTTAAAGATAAACCAATTGAGCTATCCAGAGGTGGTGAGTTTGGGGAGTTTAATTTAGGTTCTACCATTGTACTTGTCTTTGAAGCTCCTAAAGATACTATAATAATGGTTGATATTGGACAAAAGGTTAGAATGGGTCAGGCATTATTCAGAATACCAAATTCATATGTAGGAAAAGCGAGAACAGAAATTGCTCATCCAGGTCCACAAAGGTAGACTTGCTTTAAGCACAATGTAATTGCTATAATAAGTTTTAAAAATCAAATTCATGGAGAAATATAATTTTCAGAGACATCTCTATGAAGGAGAATATTTTGTTGATAATATTATTTATGATATTATAGAATCAAAATATTTTGGTGGACAAACGGTGCAACTTTCAGAAGCTGAGGCTAGTCAGATTTTAGTAAAATGCAATGCGACTCCTGCAAGTCGAAGTTACTAAGATGTTGCAGAATTACTATTGTTACAAATGATGCCATATTTTTGTCTTTACAGTATTATCTTTACTGTATATGGATTGTATTTTACTTTTTTTTACAAAACATTAATTTGTGCAGTTATTTGGGATGGGGGACTGATATACCATGCTGTAAATATGATTTATTTTTCCATCTACTTACTGTACTGTTAAATTAACAATAACAAAAATATTAGAAGGTGACCATAATTATATTCATCTACTAAAATGTTTCAGCTGTAAGAGTAAGCTAAAATTTGCTGTTCACAATTCAATTACAGTTTATATTGTCAAAAGTCGAGCTCAACCTATTTGCTCATGACATTTTGTTGTGTGAACCAACAAATCATTAACATTGTATTTGTAATTTAATGGATAACCAGTACTGTACAGTATAAAAAATAAATAATTATTTAGAAATTGTCATCATTTTCAAGTATATGGATTAGAGAAAAGTTGCAGTATTTGACTAAATATGATATGGTAACCTGACTGTTTCTTCACCATCTTCAGTCTGTGATTTCCAGTTTGTTGTCACATTGGATGTTTTGCACTCTCTGATCCTGAATAAATTTTCATGTACTATATTTATATTAAAAACAACATATAAAGCAGAAGCAGCCTTGTGGAGATATTATCTTCTCACTAACATTATTGCAGCCAAGTCAGCCATATTGGCATACTTCTTACTATAGAAAATTGCAGCCCTTCATACTCTCCTGTGATCAATGACCTACTGCCTTGTTATACACTTGGTCCACATCATTTCCTAATTCTTCTAATTCTAATAATATTTTTATGGATATTGTTTCGGATAAGTTTTAGGGAAAAATATTCTTGAAAATTCTTAATTACAGTTTGACAACTTTCAAGGTATCTTATATTTGTGTTGAAACTTCTATCAGCAAGTATAATAAGCACCAAATTATTCATCATAATTTTTCTTCAACTCATGAGCATGTGTCGTGTACCTTCTCTTTATATGTGGTCGTGTAATACAAGTACTGTAAAGCATTAACTTCTGATAAAGTGTTTGTTGCTAATTTTAAACTAAAGCACCACACTTTTTCCAAACAAAAAATCTTTGTGGAACAAACCACCACCACCACCACCCTGTCTTCTGACACTGCTGATCTTCATTTATGTTACAGCTTTTACATATTATATGGACAAGAGCTAGTTTTTTATTTTTGTTTTGTTTTTTCTGGTAAAGTGTTATTGAAATGAGGGTGAAGTTATAAAATGTGGAGTGGATGAGGTGCAAAACCCATATGTGGTATATACATGCTACCCATATCTGGCATATACATGGTATCATGAGGTTATCTTGAGATGATTTCGGGGCTTAGCGTCCCCATGGCCCGGTCCTCGACTGGGCCTCCTTTTTTTTTTTGCACATCCCCAGGAAGCGGCCTGTAGCAGCTGTCTAACTCCCAGGTGCCTATTTACTGCTAGATGAATAGGGGCACCAGGGTGAAAGAAACTGCCCGTTTGTTTCCACCTCCACCGGAGATCAAACCCGGACCCTCAGGACTACGAATCCCGAGCGCTGTCCACTCAGCTGTCAGGCCCCTTACTACCCACATGTGGTACAGTATATACATTCTACCCATATGTGGTATATACATGCTACCCACATGTGGTATATACATGGTACCCACATGTGATATATCCTTAAACAAAAAAAGTATTATCTTGAGTGCATTGAAAAGCACATATCTGAGTCTGGTTCAAGGAGCATTGTGGAACTAAGCCATTTTGGTCCACCAAGGAATTCCTTCTCCCACTAGGTTCAAAGTAACTTTGTCCTACTGAACATCAACGTGCCCTACTGAACATCACAGAACTGGGAGTTATGTTGAATGCTAGGAACCAATCGAGGTTGCCTGCTGCGCTGACATTTATGATACAGCTGCTTGGGTGTGATAGGGATAGTTGCCAGTAAAATACTTTCCTTGTTTTACCAGTTAATGCTTACTGGGGTGTTAAAGGCATTGCTCTTATGCTTTGTATTAAAATGAGCTGGTGGTAGCTGGGTTAGACTCGCCACTGGATACCTTGGTTTGACAAGATCATTTGCAAAGAGCCTTGTTGTGGTAGGTAAGGTCACAAAGACCTAGTGGCATATATGAGTCCCTAAAGGATCATATGGCTGACTTGAATATCTAAATGATCTCAGCTCATAAATACAGTACTGTATATTATTTAAATGACAATTGCAAATTATTTAATGGGGAAAATAATTTTGAAGCGTATCTATTTAAACAAAGGTATGTTAGCGATTTTTGTATAGCTGAATAGATATTTCAAAATGTGCATGCACATGATTGTTTGTGCTTGTCTCCTTGACTTCATTTTCACATGAACCAAGTGTATATGTATATTTACCCATTATATATACTGTAAGTTAATCATTGAAATTTTGGACGAGTTTTATTGCTAATTATGCCAAATATAATTTCTGAGATCTTCCTTGTGTACATTGTTTAAAGGACAGCAATTACTTGACAATAAATATAACTGTACAATGTACTGTGATGACAGAAACTGAAATGGTGGTAAGATTATTCTGAAGTAGAGGCGAGTCTGTTATAAATTGACAGCACAGTTATCCTGTAGTGGTGGTAGGATTATCCTGAAGGGGGTTTGTCTAGAGATTACCTGGAGAAGGTTCTGGGAGTTTGTATACTCCCCAAGCCCAGCCTGGGGGGCCAGAATTGTGATACAGTCCGACAGTCTTCATTGTAACTTGGTCTGGCTATTACTTGGACCAGCCTGCAGGCCCACACATTCGCTATAACCCAGACGGTTAGGCACTTCTTGCAGAAACTTATCTAAATGCTTCTTGAAGAAGTACACTTTTGTTCCTGCAATATTTCTTATGTGTGCTGGGAGAACATTGAATAGCTGTGGACCTCTGATGTTCATGCAGTATTCTCTGTCTATGGCACCTCTACTCCTCACTTGTTATATTCTATGTTTCCTTTTGTACCTTTCGATCCAGTATGTTATTTTACTGTAGAAATATGGGACCCGGCCTTCCAGTAACTTCCATGTATATATAGTATTATTTGATGCTAATCTTGTCTCCTTTCCAGAGTGCGCATTTTGAGTTTTGAGAGGGTCCCAATAATTTAGGTGCTTTTTCGTGTTTGTGAGTCACATATAGTAGTGAATTACTGTGTATGTTCTCTGTATTTTCCTTTATTTCAGAAATCTCTCCTGCTCTGAAAGGGAAAGCGATTACTGGGCAGTACTCAAGATGGGACAGCACCTGTAATTTAAATAGCATTAACATTATGGTGGGGTCCCTGGGTTTGAACGGTCTCATAATCCATCCTATTATTTTCCTAGCTATTCCTATATTTCCTTGGTTATGTCCGCTAAATATCAGGTTGTCAGACATCATAATTCTCAAATAATTTCATGTTATTTTCCTTCTGTGTGTAGGTCTGATTGTGTCTTGTACCCTGCATTTTGTTTAAGTTCTTCTTTTCTACCACAGCTAAGTACCTGAAGCTTATTGCTTTTTTTCAGTGTCTATTACAGACGTAATTCAGTTTTTTTCAGTGTCTATTACAGACGTAATTTTCATGCTGATTTTTGTATCATCTGCAAAAGATGATGCAAAGCTGTGACTGGTATGTTTGTCTATATCTGATATGAGAATGAGAAAAAGCAGTGGTGATAGGACTGTGCCTTGGGGTACAGAGCTTTTCACTGTGTTTGGACTTGATTTTATTTGATTGACTGTTACTCTTTGCATTCTGATACATTTGAAAATCAAACACCCTACTTTACCTATAATTCCAGTTGATCTCATTTTATGGGCTATCACTCCGTGGTCACACTCAAATGCCTTTATAAAATCTGTGTATTCAACATCTGCATTAGGGGGTGAGGTTATCCTGAAATAGGGCTGAGGCTATCCTTAAATAGGGGAGAAGCTTTTCTTAAATAGGGGTGAGGTTATTCTGAAAGTGGTGGGTGAGGTTGTCCCGAAAGTGAGGGGTGAGGTTGTCCCGAAAGTGAGGGGTGAGGTTGTCCCGAAAGTGAGGGGTGAGGTTGTCCCGAAAGTGAGGGTGAGGTTGTCCCGAAAGTGAGGGTGAGGTTGTCCCGAAAGTGAGGGTGAGGTTGTCCCGAAAGTGAGGGGTGAGGTTGTCACGAAAGTGAGGGGTGAGGTTGTCACGAAAGTGAGGGGTGAGGTTGTCCCGAAAGTGAGGGTGAGGTTGTCCCGAAAGTGAGGGGTGAGGTTGTCCCGAAAGTGAGGGGTGAGGTTGTCCCGAAAGTGAGGGGTGAGGTTGTCCCGAAAGTGAGGGGTGAGGTTGTCCCGAAAGTGAGGGGTGAGGTTGTCCCGAAAGTGAGGGGTGAGGTTGTCCCGAAAGTGAGGGGTGAGGTTGTCCCGAAAGTGAGGGGTGAGGTTGTCCCGAAAGTGAGGGGTGAGGTTGTCCCGAAAGTGAGGGGTGAGGTTGTCCCGAAAGTGAGGGGTGAGGTTGTCCCGAAAGTGAGGGTGAGGTTGTCCCGAAAGTGAGGGTGAGGTTGTCCCGAAAGTGAGGGTGAGGTTGTCCCGAAAGTGAGGGTGAGGTTGTCCCGAAAGTGAGGGTGAGGTTGTCCCGAAAGTGAGGGTGAGGTTGTCCCGAAAGTGAGGGTGAGGTTGTCCCGAAAGTGAGGGTGAGGTTGTCCCGAAAGTGAGGGTGAGGTTGTCCCGAAAGTGAGGGTGAGGTTGTCCCGAAAGTGAGGGTGAGGTTGTCCCGAAAGTGAGGGTGAGGTTGTCCCGAAAGTGAGGGTGAGGTTGTCCCGAAAGTGAGAGGTGAGGTTGTCCCGAAAGTGAGGGTGAGGTTTTCCCGAAAGTGAGGGTGAGGTTGTCCCGAAAGTGAGGGTGAGGTTGTCCCGAAAGTGAGGGTGAGGTTGTCCCGAAAGTGAGGGTGAGGTTGTCCCGAAAGTGAGGGTGAGGTTGTCCCGAAAGTGAGGGTGAGGTTGTCCCGAAAGTGAGGGTGAGGTTGTCCCGAAAGTGAGGGTGAGGCTGTCCCGAAAGTGAGAGGTGAGGCTGTCCCGAAAGTGAGAGGTGAGGCTGTCCCGAAAGTGAGGGTGAGGCTGTCCCGAAAGTGAGAGGTGAGGCTGTCCCGAAAGTGAGAGGTGAGGTTGTCCCGAAAGTGAGAGGTGAGGCTGTCCCGAAAGTGAGGGTGAGGTTGTCCCGAAAGTGAGGGTGAGGTTGTCCCGAAAGTGAGGGGTGAGGTTGTCCTGAAAGTGAGGGTGTTGTATTGCTCAAGTTTGAGATAGCTGGTTGTGGTACTGGGGACATTTGCAAATTCTGCTTATGGCTTTGCTGCTATATACACTTATAAATATTGAAAGCTTAAATATATTGATTCATTAAGTATCCATTGTTGACATGGCCATAAACAAATGAGTTGATAGCAGCTCATGTTTGTAATATTGGGGCAAGTTTTGAAACATACTCAACATGCAGTAATGTAATTAAGGAAATGGCCGATTTGTTAATGATGCCGTGGCAGCTTAATGTGTATCTTGGGTACTCGACCCTCTTCTTGGTCACTGCAGTGGGATTTTTTATTTTGTTTTAGTCGAACTTTAAACGTTGATGACTAATAAATAATATTGCTACTGTAGTACAGTATTAATACTGAAAATATCTGATTGCCGTATTATGTATGAACAGTGTGATCACAAAATATTGGTGAAGAATAATTGAAACAAATATGTGGTGAAACAGCTCACGTAGTTCCACAGAGGTTTCACAGGTTGATGACAATAATGAGTACTGTATATTGGAAGTGAAGCAGAGATAATAAGGCAGAAGGACATTCTTGAAGCATTCTTGTTGTTTGTGGATGCTTTACATGTTTATAATTAAATGAAGAAATATAGTTTTAGGAAAAGATTTAAAAACTATTTCAGCTTACTATACCTGTGTCTCTTCCTGTAGCAGAAAGTAGTGAAGAGCACACATTTGGAAAGGTTGTGGTAATACTGAATGTTATATCAATAAAATTTTGTAATGCTGCATTTGGTCATATTCTACTGAATGCTAATCACAGTATTTTAACGGTGAAAAATCAATACTGTAGTTTTATATTTATGTGTTGGTGACTTGATAAGAATGAAGCCGATTATGTCCTTGGAAATTATATCTAGTACTAGTCATGTAGTACACTCTTGTCACATTTTCTGACACATTGGGAGATTTTGATTTAAAAATTCCACATCAAGTACAGTACTGTACTGTACTTAATATAAATTTCTAGGCACTATGAAGATGTAAGTCACTATTTTCAGAATTGGGAATATTGTAATTCAATTATTTTCCTATTGAGTAAACATGTATATGTCCCCAGAATGCACATATTTGTACAGTTTGTATTAAATATTCATATCAAATATGTATTATTATTCCAGCACTTAATGGTACTTTACCTGAATATACCAAAGGACGCTATTCTCTAGTGTCCTCGACGAGGACACAAACCCGGTGGTTTGTCAAAAGTCCCCCCATTTGTCCTGATGATTTTATCTATTTGGATCTTAAATGGCAGCAGTGTTTTGGCATTAATGTCTTCAGCAAGTAGACAATTCCATGGGTTTATGACCCTATAGGTGAAATAGTATCTCTTGTTTTGAGCTTCAAAGTGTTGATCCTCATTCGTGTTACATCTTACTTTATTGAAGAAATGGTCTGTATCCATATCCTGAAAACTATTCAATATTTTAAAAGTTTTAATATCAACCCTGTCATGTCTGGTTTGCAGTGTTGTTAGCCTTGTGGCCCTCAACCGTTCCTGGTAATAAGTTGATATATAATTATGATTGATGAAAGTCAGTGTAAGTTTTAATATTCAAGAGATTTATGGTGGAACTCTAAAATGCACAGTTGTTTTTTCATAGCATAATCACTGCCCCCTAGTACCAAGTTTTATGTGGTGGGGTGGGATCAGCCTGTAAGAAATTACAGAACACACAGTAAATGATAGAAGAAATCCATTCCCTTTATCTTTCACACTAAGCTAGAGTTTCACATACAACCACCAGTGTCACACTCCAGAAATACTTTCACCACAGCTTTATAACACTACAACACAACATTCAGCTGCTTTATACAAGCTTCCAATGTAAGTTGCTTACAATGAGTTGGTATTTAAGGAATTTAAAATATTCACTATTGACAAATTGAATCCATATAGCTTTATTCCCTATTGCCGTTTACATTTTAGCCCCTTTACAGAGAGTGAAATTAAGTGAATCTGAAGGTAGGAGAGGAAAGCCAAGGAGATAGACATGTGAGTATATAATTAAATAATAATTATATACTGTACTGTACTCCCATTTCTATCTTCTTGGCTTTTTGCACACTATAAAATGAGTTTAAAACATTGTCATGACACAGACTACCAGCTTTTTGCATCAAATAAGACAGGTGAGTTGCACCATAATAACTCTTGCCCAGGCATGACTGACAAACAGACAGGTTATTTAGCAAGAGGACCCACATCATGGCCACTACCTTTATGTGTCAGGCAGAGAAGGGCTTGCATGCTTCAGTAACCCAAAAGGCAGCAGTTATGAGAGGCATGTGATGCTCCCATTTTGGCCAAAGGCAAGATGTGAGAGGTGACCTGTCTTTTTCAAATTCAAATAAGTTTATTGAGGTATAAATACACACAAGGGGATGAGGCAGCTCGAGCTATTCTCACCCCGTTCAGAACAACGTGTTCATATACAGTATATTTATAGACACATCACAAACAATAATCATATACTGAACATTCTGAGCGATACACACATACATTTCTTCCTTTACACATATAGTATGTTACCAGACGTACACACAAATGCTTTTATGACTAGGTACACAGAGAATTTGTAATAGGCATTCAACAAAGTTACAATCTTGGTGCAAAATAAAAGCTGGCTTTGTGGCCTCCGACCACTTGTGTGTTTGTAGAACACGAAAGACTGTAAAGTATATTTCCTGTTCCCCTTCATCTTTGCTAGGAGTTTGGAGGTAAAAGAGGAGGTTTAGTGCAACTAAACATGTAAAGCAGGCATTGAGAGACGTGCACCCATATCTCCATCAGTCTGGTGCATCATTAGTCTCCTCAGTGGTAACCTGCATATGCTGAACTACAATCCCTGGGAATGTTACTTTGTCTCAGACTCTGTGATGGGTGGAGATATAGTGAAGTACAGTACAGTACTTTTAATTTGAAGGAACCCTTTTAGTAGCTCCATTGTGCTTATAATTACTTACTCTGTATGAAGCCTTGGAGTAAACTACATTCACTCTTGGAATTTGGAGCTGAAAAGGAACTTCAGATTAGCAAAACAAAACAAAAATCCAGATAAGGACTTACCCATGGGAAAGAATGTCAGAGGGACAGACAGGGCTGATGAGCATCACCGACTTGCCAGACATGCAAGTGTGACAGGCGGGTACATGGGGGAGGTCTGGGAATATCCCAGTCAGTAGCCAGAGACCAACAGCCTGCACCACCTCCATCACCCCACGTCAACACCTGTAGATACCAATTAAGAATGCCTCCAAAGCAGCAAACTGGGCACCCCATATGGTATGTGCAAGCTGTATGGCTGCTCTAATGTGTAGACTGATGTCTCTAGCGAGTACAGTGTATGCTGAAAGGATTCTTCCTTTATATGTATATGCGTATATATACTTATGTATATACGGTAGTCTGCTGTATCGATGTTCTTGAACTTCCTGCCCCTCCGTCCATAACCTCTCAAGGTATTGTATTTTTTTATACAAGAGTTCTTACATTCTTGTACAGCCACTACCTCGCATACCGTTTCGGGCAGGTCTTGAATCCATATTTTCCCGGGAATACGACCCACCAAATCGTTTAACAACCAGGTACCCATTCACTGCTCGGTGAACAGAGGCTACAGTTAAGGATTGGCGCCGAACCAATGGCGCCGAACCAAGGCCAAATTACTCGCGAAGGGCGGTGCAGAGTGCGAAACCACCACGCCACGGGGACTTTGACTTTAGGAAAAGAAGTCGTCCTGGACCAATGTATGGATCAATTATAATTGACTGGATCAATTATAATTGATCCAGTCGTTGTCCTGGATCAATGTTTATCTAGAAGCCTATATATAAAGGTCCATCAGGACGTTGATTTCTTTGATTACCTTAAGGGGGCGTTAGTTAGGGTTCATAAAAGTTGTTCTAGTGCAATGAAAATTTATTGACGTGTTACACCTGAAGAGGGCTGCAAGTGGTCCAAGTTTCAGCATCGCAGCCTAAATAGAGAGGGAGAAAAAAAAAAAAAACTTTTTTTAACCATTTTTTTACATGTTTTAAAGTTGATATAACAAATACAAATATCAACTGATATTATTTCTATGATACTCAGCTACCACAATACTATATAATAAAGGTTGTCTAGTGGCATTATTATCCCAAACCTATTTAGTGCAATAATACAAATTTTCAAAGTTCACCCAAAAAATTATGCAACAAAATGATGTTTATAAATATATATAAAATCAATAAATGATCTTAGGGGAAATATATAACTTGGGTTTTTAGAGGCACAGACTCTACATATAATGTGCAAGTTCCATGTAAATTGAATAATAAATAAAAAAGTTATTCAACCATATAGTTGCAAATTAGTTACCTGTAAAAAATGAAGGTCAAAGTTCAGCCACCTTTGGCTGAGGTTGATGAACTACCAATTTCAATCAAAATTACCACCCTTGTAGATTGGCATTCCTTCAGTAAGGTGTGTAAGTTCCATGAAGATTGCCTGATAAAAAAAAAAAAAAAAAAATTATTAAAAAAAAAAAATAAAAAAAAAAAAAAAAAAAAATATAAAAAAAGACAGCAGCTTTATATTTACAATTATTTATGATATAGTATCAAGATATAAAACATAATACATACTAACCTAATATAATTGGTCTGAAATATGCAACATCTTGCAACATCAAGAGGGAGAACGTCTTGAGTTGCAGGTCTAAGATCTTGAGTGGCAGGTGCCGCAGGTGGTGTGGCAGGTGCCGCAGGTGGTGTGGCATGTGCAGCAGGAGGTGTGGCAGGTGCCACAGAGGTGTGGCAGGTGCCACAGGAGGTGTGGGTGCCTGGGTGTGAGGCGAGGTAGTGTGTTGTGGGGGCGGGAGGCTGCCCTCTCTCTTCACTCAAGGGAACTCTTGTTTTGCCTCAGTGTGGCTTTACGCTCATTCTTTACTTGGCTAACGCGTAGAGCTCTTGCCTTTAGAGCTTTCTTCTTGTCCGATACTATATCCATTGTGCAGTATATGCAAGAAAATACGATCTGTGCGAGCGCGTCAGGCATGCGACCGCCGGCACAGACACTGAGAGGGTGACTAAGCCAGTAAATCGGATTATAGCCCCTCCCTCTCACAGAAGACAGTTGCCAGCGAGTGTGTTTATAATTTGTATATGCATAACAAGATATTCTCCACTCTATTGCGAAATACTAGACGCTTACAACGTATGACGCATCACCCTACGGCGCACCCGAGCCGCGAGGACCAGATTTCGGGCAATTGCGGCTGGAAAATTTGCTCTAATTACGTTATTTATTATCATAACATTAAACGGTTTGCACCACGGTGTTGCCAGAACGTTGTAGTATTTTTATAAATTTTTCGTGTTTGGCCGAATTTTTTCGGCCAAACAATGATAACGCCCCCTTAATTATCAAAGAATGAGAAAGTTATTACAAAACACCCCACGTGAAGAATCAATCCACCAAAAATCACATTGATTACAAGACATACAAAGGGCAACGTTCATATATATGTACTTTTGCTTAAATACAAATTATCATTATTATTATTATGAATGCAGCTACCCTTTAGGGAATTTAGATTTGCAAAAATAAATTATGAAAAAACTGTGCTCAAAATATTAAGATCCCAAAAAGTCTTGCAAAATGAGACCGACGTAACTGACGATAAAAAAGAAAACGACTACTTAATACTTTACATAATTAGTGAATATAGAATATAAGACATATTTGCCCACTGTAAATTCAGGTATATAGGCTGGAAGGATGCCTCACGGACAGGATATAAGCTGGAAGGATGCTTCATGGACTGCAAGAGACGACGGCACCGCTCCTGTGCCAGGTGAGTCCAATACGGGCTCACCAAAGCCCGTGCTATTTGCCCCGCTCCTGTGCCAGGGGGAGTTACGGGCTCACCATAGCCCGTGCTACTTGGAACTTGTTCCGAGTAGCTGAATCTATAACACCAACTTCATGGACTGTATATAAGCTGGAAGATTGCTCCATTTAGAGTATAAAGGATGGAATAATGCTCCATCTAGTGTATATAGGATAGAATTTTGCTCTGCCTTGCGTGTATAGGACGAAAGGATTCCCCCATCTAGTGTAATACTATATATAGGATGGAAGGATGCTCTGCCTAGTATATATAGGTTGGAAAGATGACCCGTCTAGTGTATTTAGGATGGAAAGGATGCCCCCCCGTCTAGTGCATAGAAGGTGAAAGGTTGGTAGTGTAGCCTCCCAGTGCCATGGTGAGGGGGCCGGAGTCCCCAGCAGGGCCGCCTGCCGGAGCGAGGTGTCGGCACTATAGATACCGGGAGAGACCTGAACCCCTTTAAGGCCGATTCCGTGCTATTGCTTTCCACTCCCGTCCGCCGCACCCACACCCTTGCCTGTCGCTCTCTACCTCAAACTACACAATATATGACCAATATAATTATTATAATTACAGTATTACTTTTTAAATCATATATAATCAAATAATAGTTAGAATACTTGACTTCGTTAGAGTTCTTGTTACGATGACATAGATTTGGATTCTACTGCGGGTAATAGACTAAATGTTTTCTCTGGTACCTTTCTGTAGGTGAAGTGGCCGTGTGTGTCAATATTACTCCTGGAGGGTGAGTAGAAGTGTGAGGCGCGTGAGGTGTGAGGCAGGTAGGGTGAGGGGGCGTGTCGAGGGGTGTGCTGAAGGGTGAGGTGCGGGACCTGCAGGGGTGTCAGGAGGCACAGGGGAAGGCTCAGGCTGGGGCCCGTCTCTGGCCAGGGTGTACAGGGGCCTGTCTCTCCCAGGGTGTACAGGGGCCTGTCTCTCCCAGGGTGTACAGGGGCCTGTCTCTCCCAGGGTGTACAGGGGTCTGTCTCTCCCAGGGTGTACAGGGGCCTGTCTCCCAGGGTGTACAGGGGCCTGTCTCTCCCAGGGTGTACAGGGGCCTGTCTCTCCCAGGGTGTACAGGGGCCTGTCTCTCCCAGGGTGTACAGGGGCCTGTCTCTCCCAGGGTGTACAGGAGCCTGCCTCTCCCAGGGTGTACAGGGACCTTTCTCTCCCAGGGTGTACAGGGGCTTGTCTCTCCCAGGGTGTACATGGGCTTGTCTCTCCCAGGGTGTACCAGGTGTTGCCCCCTCTCAGGGTGTGCCAGGTGTTGCTCCCTTCCAGGGAGTACCAGGTAATTCTCCCAGGGTGTACTAGATGTTGCCCCCCCCTCCCAGGGTTTACAGAGGATATACAGGGGATACTACCTCCCAGGGTGTAAATGGGATTCTTTCCTTCCAAGGTGTAAAATGGATTCTCCCTCCCCCAGGGTGTACAGGGGCTTCTCCCTCCCCCAGGGTGTACAGGGGCTTCTCCCTCCCCCAGGGTGTACAGGGGCTTCTCCCTCCCCCAGGGTGTACAGGGGCTTCTCCCTCCCCCAGGGTGTACAGGGGCTTCTCCCTCCCCCAGGGTGTACAGTGGACTTGCCCTACCAAGTTGTACATGACTGTCCCTACCAGGTTGTCGGAGGGGACTGGCCCTGCCAGGTTGGACGGGGAAGGAGGGAACTGTCCCTCCCTGGCTGAACAGGGGAATCTTTTTCTAGGGGGGGGGGGGATGTGAGTGTACAGGCATTCGTTCCTTCCAGGATGCATGGCACAATGAAATTGTTTTCCTCCTATCCAAAAATCCGCTTAAATATCCAATAATTCAGGTCAATTCATACAACATGGCCAAACCATTTTGGTGCACATTCAGTCGTACTGTTTTATGATTTTTATTCCTTGTTCTCTTTCTTGTCCTTGCACCACCATGCTTCTCAGCTTGTGCATTTCAATTGGTCCAATACATACTTGACTTTTCATGTTCCTTCCATACCATTCTCACATCTGAATAAGGGGGTTAGTAAGCAAGTCAATCAGTTCTCTGGATGCAGCTATTCTGTTTTTTTTCTAACCTTGGTCTTTGTTGCACCAGTAATTTTCTCCAGTTACACAGATTTCTTTATTAGTAATATATCGTAGGTGATTTTAAACTGATAGACAACTTCTCTTGTCACCATTCACATGATATAAATAGTTTTAATAATTTAATAAATAATTTAATAATTTAATAAATTTATTGATATAAAGAGTGCCCTTCAAGAAGACCTGGACAAAATAAGTATATGGAGCACCACTTGGCAAATGGAATTTAATGTTAATAAATGTCATGTTATGGAATGTGGAATAGGAGAACATAGACCCCACACAACCTATATATTATGTGAGAAATCTTTAAAGAATTCTGATAAAGAAAGAGATCTAGGAGTGGTTCTAGATAGAAAACTATCACCTGAGGACCACATAAAGAATATTGTGCAAGGAGCCTATGCTATGCTTTCTAACTTCAGAATTGCATTTAAATACATGGATGGCGATATACTAAAGAAATTGTTCATGACTTTTGTTAGGCCAAAGCTAGAATATGCAGCTGTTGTGTGGTGCCCATATCTTAAGCAGCACATCAACAAACTGGAAAAGGTGCAAAGACATGCTACTAAGTGGCTCCCAGAACTGAAGGGCAAGAGCTACGAGGAGAGGTTAGAAGCATTAAATATGCCAAAACTAGAAGACAGAAGAAAAAGAGGTGATATGATCACTACATACAAAATAGTTACAGGAATTGATAAAATCGACAGGGAAGACTTCCTGAGACCTGGAATTTCAAGAACAAGAGGTCATAGATTTAAACTAGCTAAACACAGATGCCGAAGAAATATAAGAAAATTCACCTTCGCAAATAGAGTGGTAGACGGTTGGAACAAGTTAAGTGAGAAGGTGGTGGAGGCCAAGACCGTCAGTAGTTTCAAAGCGTTATATGACAAAGAGTGCTGGGAAGACGGGACACCACGAGCGTAGCTCTCATCCTGTAACTACACTTAGGTAATTACACTTAGGTAATTACATACTGAGTTTCCCACTGAATACCTTTCTCTCCATAACCACTTTTGTTTACTCTTGCTGTTTTGGATCATTGCCACTATTCACTCAAAGTGAATAGAATACAGTATACTGAATGTTTTTTAATCTAAAAAATTTACCTGAGGGCCACTATCTCTAATGTCCATGACTGGGAAAGAAAGCCAGTGGTGTAATAATAATGCATTCTATTTCAGCTTGATGTCATATTTAATATTTTAGCATGTTGCCTAATGCATTTATTTTAGCTCTGTAAATTGTTTCAGATGTATAAGTAAGAAAGGCGTGGTGAACATTACTGGCAGGCTAGGGAGGATGGCTAGTAACCGGCAGGTAGGGATGGACGCCAATATCTATAACAACAAATCATCTAAACAGAAAAAGAAAGGCAAGCCTCCACCGCCTCCTGGATCGGAATCGGTAAGACCTTGCTATAGTTTATTGATATAAAGATTGCTTTTCTTGCTATCCATTTAATAGGGTTTAGCATGTTGTCAAACCTAGTCTTGGGCTTTAAACTTATAATTTTCTTCATACACATCCTTCTTGATGAGTGTTTCAAATTTATTTTGAGCTGTAGCATTATCGAGGTTTTGGTTAGTATGTAATGGTTCTATTGTTACGTAAAGTATGGTGACAATAAACACAAACACTAAGAGAATACTGTATATATATTTGGTCGAATATACAGAAGTACACAAGTGATACTTTGGCGAGCAGTGGTGTGAGTTGAGCGCACTGAGCGTCAGTACAGTATCTTGCAAGTGTCTGTTCTAGACCACACTTGAAAGTAAACTACAGTAGTTATTATTCGCCACTCTGCTGCTTATATGCTCGGGCAACACCTCACCGTTCTCCAAAGGTTGACAGGAATAGTATGTGGAAGTTGGGAAAGGTTTGAGTTCCATAATTAGTACCAAGAAGAGCTTTGCTTCTCTCATTAGGCTAATGCATTTGGAGCGAGTATATTATTGGGATAATCTACTCGCTATAGAGCTCCCTCTTCCAGGGGATGAAAGGAAAAACACTTGATCAAGGAACCTAGCTGGTTGGTGAATTGTACGCCCTGCTCGCGTTGTATAACCCTCAAAGTTAATTTCCTCCTCTTCGCTGATGTCATCTAACTGGGGTCGTAGGGTGGGAGGTCGCACAGGATCGTCCGTCGTCGTAGGATCAGGTGGTGGTGCAGCTGGTAACTGGGGTTGTAGGATGGGAGGTCGTACAGGGTCGCCAGTTGTCGTAGGTGGCGGTGTTGCTGGTAACTGTGGTCGAAAAGTGAACGGCGTAGTCGGCGGATGTGTGTCTGGAGGGATGTCTGGGGCAGCATCACAGTGTGCTGGTTTAAGACGATCGATGGAGATGTTTACCCGCTGTCCTCGGCGTTCAATGGTGAAGAACTTCGGTGTTCGAGAAAACCACTTTAAATGGTCCTTCGTAAGGTGACTGTAGAGGGCGTCGAACAGCGTCGACTCTTACAAACATGTGTTCAGTTGTGTGGAGCTCATGAGGCACACATGTAGCATGAGTTGTCAGTTGGCGTGGTGGTGTAGGCCGAATGTTTGTCATGGCCACCCGTAATTTCTGGACAAAAGTGGGGAATGGGGGTGTGATGAGTGGCGTCGGAGTTAAGAATTCGCCCGGAAGCCGCAGGCTAGATCCGTATACTAAGTCTGCTACTGAGCCCCAGGGAGGGAGGGGCTTCTCTGTCTAGGGTACCAAGGAAGTAGCTGCTCCCTGTCGAGGCTGCCAGAAAGTGGCTACTACCTGTCAGGGCCACCAAGTCACAGTAGGACTAGTTTCTGTGTTCTGTTAATCATCGTATGAAAATGTAATTAAGTTACAGTATAGTCTTGTCATAGAGAGCACATGAGGCTTTTGAGGACTGCATTTATTGTGTTCATCCAGCACTGTCTTCACCTCTTATATTTTCATTTGAAGTTTCTCATGGTTGTCTGTGCCGGCAGGTATTTTGTAATTACAGTAGAGTACTATTATCAGTGTATAATCCATCTGTACTGTCATGTTCCTTTAGTGGGATTTGGGTAGTGCTCACAATTACCTTATTCATGTGATGATGTGCTCAATTAGTAGAGTACTGTACTAATAAATGCTGTGGAAATTTCTAACCGATACTCCTATTACTCTAATACTGGTTTTCATTTATCCTTTCTACACTTTATTCTTGTGTGGTAATCTTACCAAATATTTAAGTTTTATCATGGCCTACTGTTGTAGAGGAAGGTCTGCATGAGATGATTGAATATTGCTACTTATGGCTGAATATGCTACAGGTTTTTGCAGATTCTGTAACAACTTTAAACAAAATCACCTCTTACAGAAACACAGAAGCCTCTGCTCACATATCTGTAAATAGGTACCCAGGAGTTAGGAAACTGTTGTGGGTTGCATCCTGGGCAAGATCAGTACTTGACCTAGGGGGGGGGGGACCTTTAATAAGCCTAACAGGCTTCATATCCCCAGCAATGGGGTGTACAGCATGTTTATGAAAGTAAATTAGAAATTAGTAAATTAGTAAAATACTATTTGTGTGTTTAGAATATTACTGTTATTTTTTAACCATTTGTATGTTATGTGGACTAACTTGAATTCCAGCATTACCATTAAGTACTGTACATATTGATTGGTAAATTATTTATTAACAATAAAGATTAAAAATATTTTATTTGGTGAGGTGTTTGTTTTTGTGGTTGATTTTTTAAGGTAATTCTCAAAGCTGTAATAGTTTTAATAATTCTTATAATATATACAAAATCTATGTACAGTACAGTACAGTATTGCTGTATTTTCCCAAGATCACTAATCAGCTGTAAATATTCACTATAATTAATTGTTTTGTGTGTTCTTATGTTGTAGGACCAAAGTATTGATACTAACAGCTTATCTGCGGAGTCTCAAGACCCAGGTCGCTCCCCCAATAGCTCCCACAAGACCAGTGAGTGTTGCGGTGTACTTTGTTTAATGAGTAACAGGAAAGTAGTTGTTTAATTGTTGTAGTAGTAGTTGTTGAATTAATCCATTCCACACCCCAAAAATATTAACTTAATAATACATTTTATACTGAATAACAATAATTTTGTACTAGCTACAATACAGGATATATCTTACCTTTAATGAGGACTCTTGTTGGCATATGGAAGATGGTAACAGGATGAAAGGTGGGGGTGACATGGATGAAAGATTTTCTGACTGATAGCAAAATGAGGGCAGTAATCAGAGGCAATGTTTCGGACTGGAGAAATGTCACAAGTGGAGTACAACAGGGTTCAGTTCTTGCACCAGTGATGTTTATTGTCTACATAAATGATCTACCAGTTGGTACACAGAATTATATGAACATGTTTGCTGATGATGCTAAGATAATAGGAAGGATAAGAAATTTAGATGATTGTCATGTCCTTCAAGATGACCTGGACAAAATAAGTATATGGAGCACCACTTGGCAAATGGAATTTAATGTTAATAAATGCCATGTTATGGAATGTGGAATAGGAAGACATAGATCCCACACAACCTATATATTATGTGAGAAATCTTTAAAGAATTCTGATAAAGAAAGAGATCTAGGGGTGGTTCTAGATAGAAAACTATCACATGAGGACCACATAAAGAACATTGTGCGAGGAGCCTATACCACACTTTCTAACTTCAGAATTGCTTTTAAATACATGGATGGCGATATACTAAAGAAATTGTTCATGACTTTTCTTAGGCCAAAGCTAGAATATGAAGCGGTCGTGTGGTGCCCATATCTTAAGAAGCACATCAACAAACTGGAAAAGGTGCAAAGACATGCTACTAAGTGGCTCCCAGAACTGAAGGGCAAGAGCTACGAGGAGAGGTTAGAGGCCTTAAATATGCCAAAACTAGAAGACAGATGAAACAGAGGTGATATGATCACTACGTACAAACTAGTAACAGGAATTGATAAAATCGATAGGGAAGATTTCCCGAGACCTGGAACTTCAAGAACAAGAGGTCATAGATTTAAACTAGCTAAACACAGATGCCGAAGAAATATAAGAAAATTCACTTTCACAAACAGAGTGGTAGACGGTTGGAACAACTTAGGTGAGAAGGTGGTGGAGGCCAAGACCGTCAGTAGTTTCAAAGCGTTATATGACAAGGAGTGCTGGGAAGATGGGACACCACGAGCGTAGTTCTCATCCTGTAACTACGCTAAGGTAATTACACTCTCTCACACTCTCTCACTCTGACTCACTTTCACTTAAAAAAAATTACAGAAATTGAATAAAGGGAATTTTGATTAATGGGTGTTTGGAATGTTGGACAGCCTTTGAATGCTGTACTTTATTTATATGTTTACAATATTTAAAATAATAATAAACAATAAGAATAATACTTGCATGTTATTGTTTCTAGGAAGCAAGAAAGGAGAATGGGAGATCCTTGAAGGCCTTAAAGAAGGGCAAAGATTTGACTTGGTTCCTCGAAAATTTGAAGGTTTTTTACTTAAACGTCGAAAATGGCCACTTAAAGGATGGCATAAGGTAAGAAATATGCATATATATGTTAATATTTCAACTTATATATGATGATAATAAGTTGAGTGTGTGTGTGTTGATGAAAAGTAATCAGGACACTGTACATTGAAGGGGAGAAGGCTGGTGGGGGGTATGTGGGTATGCTGGATACCTGAGAGTTTAGTGCACCCATCTTTACTTATATCGAGATAAGATTGTTTATTTTATTATTTGTTAAGATGATGATGGTATTAAAAGGACTGGAAAGTACTACAGGCAGATTTGTGTACTATAGTTTATTACAGTATTGTGCAGGCAACCCATTTAATGTAATTACCTCAGTGTACATAATATTGTGTGGGAATAAATTTTTGGAAAAAGTCCACATTTTACTATTCTTTTCTCAATAAAATACATTATTATTCAGTGAATCCTCTGCTAGTCCTTCTCAACTCCACTAAATCGAGCAGTATTTCATTCTCGTACTGTTTTTATGTTTTTTTTTTTATTTAATTGTATTTGTATATGCTGAGATTGTTGCTTGGGTTCATTTATATGGTGTGAATACTGGGTGTGTTATTAAAATAGCTGTGATTTATCTTGTGTGAGGCAGATAATGTTGTATGGCGGTATTTCTGAATTGCTGCATGGAATAGTCCACCCTCCTTCCAAAATACTGGCTTTCCCCACATAGCCAGCAAGACTTCGCTTGTTTAAAACACATTTTTCTTGATCCATCTGTTGATTTCTTTAGCTGTAAGCCTCAATTTTTCAAAATAGGTTGCATTCAGTTAACACTTGTACAGTACTGTATAGGAACTCCTTTTACATGAAAGATATGACATTTTGTTGCATTGCCCATTAAAGTTAAATTTATTAGCAGTTTTATTTTTTTTATTTTCCAGAGGTATTTTGTGCTGGATAAGAGTATCCTAACATACGCAAAGTCTGTAGCTGATTTGGTTCGAGGGAAGATTCTAGGCAGAATGGACATCGGAATGTCTGTAATATCAACCAAGGCTCGTCGGCGGCGCATTGATATTGATGCCGATACACTTATTTTTCACCTCAAGGTAAGCAGTCATTTACAGAAATTTAACTTGTTAAATTAAATATTTTTGAACTGGGTGGCCCTCCGCTAGGCCCCCATGCTTGTACACGTCACAGGGGTTTCAGTGTTGTGAGCTCCCCCTTTGTTAGCTTAAGGTCTAATTGGTTAGCAACACCTTGCTAACCTTTAATCCTTTAATCTATAAACCTATAGCCTTTAATCTTATTCATAAAAATGTTTTAATGATATTGCATGTGTATGGGAACATGTTGGCATGTGGTTTCCTTGTCCCTTTCCTGCAATTTATTATCACTTAGGTAATTATATTGCAGGAAAGGGAGAAAGAAACTACACTCAGTCACCCGTCAAGGGTTGGCTTGATGACCGAGTCATATTATTTCATTTCTTTTTGCAGTGTAAATCTCGAGAAGTGTATTTGCAATGGGTTGAGCAACTAAAGCAGCATCGTCTCCACAAGCAGCATCAAATACTGTATAGTAAAGACCAGGCCAAGCTTACTTCACCCACTTCACCTTCCGATGAGTCTCCAACAGGTCATACATACTCTTCTAAAATTAAAATATAAATACAGTAAATATTTAAATAAATATATGATAGTACTGTACAGGTACTTTCTTGAATCGGTTGAATTTGTTGTTAGCCAGCCTATTGTGATAGTGATAGGCATTTACTGATCATTTGTGGATTTGTTGTCGAGATGATTTGCTTATGTAATTAACCCTTAAATGGGGCAGAACATACATATACGATTGGACATAACATCAGTTTTTAAAACTTGCACAAACACTTTCCTTTTTTTTGTGCATAATCACCTCGGCAAATGCTCCAATTTTGTCACTTGATCACCAACAGATGAACGGTTAACAGATGAAAATATTTTGATGAAAGTTTCACAACCTTGAAGCCAATAAGTTGGAGATTTGTTTAACATTTTTAAGTAATTTTTACATAATTCAAATATTTTTTGCCTTTTGACCCCTAAGGCTGTGCCATTTAAAGGTTAATGAAGTATTGATAAGGAATTACAGCATATAGTTAAAGATAAGGGTATGTGAGTGGGTTTTATAATACCGTAATAGAAATATATACAGTGGTACCTCAGTTTTCGAATTTAATCCGTTCCCAGAGACAGTACGAAAACCGAAACAAATTTTTCCATAAGAAATGATGTAAATTGAATTAATCCGTTCCACACCTCCAAATATATTAACTAAAAAAAATACATTTTACACAGAATAATACTCTTAGGAATCTTACCTTTATTGAGGACTCTTGTTAGCATATGGAAGACAGGGAGGATGAGGAGAGGTGTTAGTGTTTGTGAGGGAAGTCCCCTTCCATTATGACAGCAGTGATGACATTTCTGGGGTACTCTCTCTTATGTTTTGCAGGCATACCACTAGGATTTGTTGTCACTCACTGCCTGCTTGCTTGTCTAACTAAGAATCTGTCCAGAGACACTTTTTTTCCCTACTTTTAACACTTGTTTGTAGTGAGACATCACATTGGCTCACTATGAATGATTTTTTGTTTCCACTATCATCATCCTCACAACTATTTTCTTAGGTTGAACATTACCACTGACTTTCTTGGAACCCATGCCGTGATATACAGTATATTATAAAAACTTATGTTCAGAATCCAAAAAAAGCTCCATAACAATTAAATTCTTCATAAAGAATTCAAGCACGATCATCACTAGGCGGAGACACTGGTAAACTGAAGCGCTACGCGCTTGGTAGACCCACAAATGTATAAATGAAAACCGAGGCAAACAACTGAACTTTAGATTCAGGAAAAACCTGGGAAACTGGTTTGGAAATGGTTATAGATTTATGGAACAAATTATGGATAAAGTAATAGATGTGGGATGGATGGATTCTGTCAAGCTTTGGTAAGAGAGAGACATACATGAATGTGCTTGGGTGGGTATAAATAGGAGCTGCCTTGTAAGGGTCAATAGGCCTTGTGCAGTTTCCTTTATTCTCATGGTCTTACCACGACAGATCCGCTGGTGCCAGGTGGTCGGAGCTCCCTGCCTGGATCCCTACCTGGGTCGCATCCGGGCACAATAGGTCGTGAAGGCAAGTCCAACACGGGCACGACGTTGACTGGGGCTGCCGCAGGTAAATGACCAGTTAATAGCACTAATAATGCAGACGTTTATCTTGTACCAATAATCAACTAGACGTATAAAGCTGTGAAGTTAGAAAAGGTTTTCAGAGTTCTCATTCTGCTACTCTCAAAGATACAATCTGCCATGTTTATTGAATAGGCTTGTGCACAGTGAGGACAATGACATACAAATCACAACCACAGGGAGCCTTTTAAACTGTTCCTGCAACGTTATTAAGGTCATCTTCTAAAATTGACTGGTTAGCTCATTCAGTATATTTTGTTAGAAATTTACTCTAAATGAATAGTTGGTACAGTACAACAATTATTAAATACTTCAACAGATTTTAATTTATTTTAATTTGTTTAGTGTCATTTGAAAGTTGAGAGGTTGAGAGGAGAGGTGGTAGAGAGGTAGCTAATTAAATACTTTATTTCTGGATTGTTCAAAATAAATTTATGATGTTGACCTGTATGTTTTGAAAACATCAAATACAGTAACAATAAATTAAGAATTAATGGTTATTAATAACTTTTGTGAACAATTTGTGAAAAATAATTAAGATAAGTTGGACGCTAACAAATCTTTGTATATTTATATATAAATGAGTATTGTGGTTGAGTTTTCTTGCCCAAATTCAGTGCCAATAGTGATCAACAACATTATTTCTGATGTAAATAACTTTATATAAACTTTATAGTCTTTTTAATTAATATGATTGTTTTCTGCATGGTGTATATAACAAAAATTTATGTAGGAAAAGTAAAACAAAAAGGCTGGTAACTGGTTTGTGTAAAATATAGGGGTAAATTAAAAGAATATACAGTATACAAAAATTGAAAGGCACCGAGAGCATAGACACGCTTAATTCCGAGCATCCACTCAGCTGCTCTCACCCAATTGACTGATCCCACTTTAGGCTCCACTTTGGCTTCACCTCACTGTGATGATGATGAACTACTGTAGTATGATGAATGATGAACATTTCAATTGGTCTTGCCACATTTTAAACAGTGAAAGAGTAAAAATCTATTTTAATCCACCATCAAGAAAGATCATTCAGAGTAACGCCAAAGAGCATAGGGACACGGTCAAACAAGGCTTCCCGGAGAAGACAAACTCATACAGAAGCTCAAAGAAGGTTTCCTGGTACTCAGGGTCAAAATACTTACTTGTTGGAGAACACTAAACAATAACATGAAAAAATAAGAGGAACAGAATATCCCAGCTGCCAAAGTAAACACAAGAACGAGAATGTTCTTAACAGAAAAAACTGGCCATCAAGCAAAATAGCAAGAAAGTGGAAAATGTCTGAGGGCCTGAGACACTGGCCCTGAGGTGTGGAAGGAACCCAGATTATACACCTACAGGTAAAAGCTACTAAAAAGTTGGGTTAAAATATTTCAAGATCACAAGACTTAAGGCAAAACTTATTTCCTTTTGATGATTACTAGAAGAGAAGGCTGGGTATCCTTTAGACAGGTGAAGAGCCCACTAGGCTTAGCGAGCCAAACGATAGCAAAATCCAGGTGCGAAAAGAGCGTCTCACTCCCCAGGACATCACACACTTGAGCCACTTGCAGACACCAGATTGAAACAGAAAATGGTGAGGCAAAGGCCAGAAGAAAACACAGAAACTGAAAATATACCTTTGTCCAGAGAAAATATAAAAAAAGGTTAAAACATGCAGGAGCCATTAATGTGCCTGAGTAATGCAACCCTCATGAGTTATTGGGTAGAGCTGCTGAGCAACTTGTCCATTAAAAAAATTTAATTGTATTCTGCATTAGTAAGTAACAGAATTTTCATAAGTATCTCGACAATATAGAAGTTTCCTCTTCTCTGCAAAATGGTACAAAATATTATAACAAATATACTCTTAATTTGAACATGTATTATATCTCACTAATACTGTATTTAATTTTCACAGGAGCAGGAACACTTCGCTCCTGGCTGATGGATAGTTCTGGACTAGATCAACTAACTAAAGAAATCACAACAACACAACACCATGTCCAGCAATTGGCCCGCCTTCTTGACTCTATAGAGCATCAGGATGATATAAGTGTAAGTGTCCTGTAGCATTTGCAGATGATAACTCCTTGACTCTCAATAAACAAAATATGCAAGGGAAGAAAACTGGCTTCAAATCTGACAATCTAGCGACTTGCTTATATGTACTGCTTGAAACATTTATAGTTCTCATTGTCTGGGATAGGAAGCCCAGACAATATACAAAGTATATGTATACTTTAGGTTTGTATTGAGGTCTCCCATGGGTAATGGTACCTTACCCAAGATGCAACCCCACAAAAATTGCCAATGTCCTGGGTACCTATTTACTGCTAGGTTAAACAGAGGCATGAGATGAAAGGAATCGGGCCCAGTCATTTCTGTCCCACCCAGGAATCAAACCTGGAATTTGATTGTGAGTTGAGGATGTAACCATGGTACTACAAGAATTATTTGTCAATTCAGATGGAATAAACTATACCTGTATATTTTCTTAGAGGTACAGTACTGTAGTTAAATTTGGCATTTAAATATAGAGCATTTAAAACAAAGTATGGGCATAATAATAATAATAATGTTTCATCAAAGTTATTCAGGGTTAAAATTGATAACAATCACTTCTTTCAAATCCATTATATGTTGTAAATAATCAAATACTGTATACTGTACCAAATTATTGCTTGCAGACTTAACTTACTTCAGTATTTGGTAATGAATTTTCTTTTCTAGTATGTCTTATGTGTCCAACTTAACTCGCACACCTACACCCACTCGCACACCTACACCCACTCGCAGGGCCTACACCCACTCGCACACCTACACCCACTCGCACGCCTACACCCACTCGCACACCTACACCCACTCGCAGGGCCTACACCCACTCGCACACCTACACCCACTCGCACACCTACACCCACTCGCACGCCTACACCCACTCGCACACCTACACCCACTCGCAGGGCCTACACCCACTCGCACACCTACACCCACTCGCACGCCTACACCCACTCGCACGCCTACACCCACTTGCATTCTTATTACTAAATTAAAGCCTGGTTGTCACATAATGTCATTTCACCAGCATGGAGAACCAACAACTCCTTCAACAAAATCCAGAAGAAAGTTTCGTTTGCGTAAACACAAGTCCAACAAATCTACAAGCGGAGAGATTACCATCAGCACAAGTTCGGGAAAGGTTGCCCCTGATCAGGTGGATGCTACTGTACCTTCACTGGTAAGTATATATTTGTCACCGTTTTCTTTGTATGAGTTTTAGCCACAAGTTACTTGTCTTACTGCGACTGCTCCTTCCCTCATCTCAATTACTCTTTTTCACAGAGACAGACAGATGGTCAGAGACACAGACAGACAGACGGACACAGACATAGACGGATGGACTGACAGACACAGATGGACAACCAGACAGACACAGACGGATGGTCAGACAGACACACAGACAGACGGAAACACTCACTCACTTAACATCCCAAATCCACCCAGCCACCCACCCAAACCCACCAGCCCCTCCTCTAAACAAGGACCCAAAGTCCATTCCATACACCCGCCAAACCCCTGTTTATGAATGAAAAATGGTTTACACACGACTCACAACTGATGACGTCCAAACACTTCTGGAATAAGTGCTTCGCTGACGACTTTTACTCGAACCACAACACTGTAAATGCTTCACCCACGTACTACAAATACAAATAATCGCCAACAGAACCTAAACACCTAACCTAACCTATGCCTATATATGCACAATATGCTAATATATAATAATAATTATTTATATTTGAGAAAAGTTCTGTTTTGAATGAACAGCATGTTAAAATTGACGAATGAATATGGGGTCGACTGCTGGATTGAATGGACTTGGTCTGAGGACGGGTTGCTTTCACTCTCACTCACCTCACACTCACTCACCTCACACTCACTCACCTCACACTCACTCACCTCACACTCACTCACCTCACACTCACTCACCTCACACTCACTCACCTCACACTCACTCACCTCACACTCACTCACCTCACACTCACTCACCTCACACTCACTCACCTCACACTCACTCACCTCACACTCACTCACCTCACACTCACTCACCTCACACTCACTCACCTCACACTCACTCACCTCACACTCACTCACCTCACACTCACTCACCTCACACTCACTCACCTCACACTCACTCACCTCACACTCACTCACCTCACACTCACTCACCTCACACTCACTCACCTCACACTCACTCACCTCACACTCACTCACCTCACACTCACTCACCTCACACTCACTCACCTCACACTCACTCACCTCACTCACCTCACTCACCTCACTCACCTCACTCACCTCACTCACCTCACTCACCTCACTCACCTCACTCACCTCACACTCACTCACCTCACACTCACTCACCTCACACTCACTCACCTCACACTCACTCACCTCACACTCACTCACTCACCTCACACTCACTCACTCACCTCACACACACTCACTCACCTCACACACACTCACTCACCTCACACACACTCACTCACCTCACACACACTCACTCACCTCACACACACTCACTCACCTCACACACACTCACTCACCTCACACTCGACTCACACTCACTCACTGTCTTTGAAGGCACAAGGTTTTTGTGGAATTGCCTCTTTATAAGCTACTCTTGGCTTCCTGGAAGCCAAGAGAAGCTCTCTTGTATTGTCTCTCTCTAGAGACAATAGACTGGGTGAATTGTACATAACAAATGGTAGGAATTTGTTGATCTTCTATTGGGCAATTTTTTGTTTTCCATAGAGCATGTGACAAGCCATCTGACGTAATAGTATTCTTGATATTGTACTAGTAACAGAAGAGTGCATGATCGATCAAATCCAGGTAGGATAGAACCCCCCCCTACATGTGACCATTGTATTTTAAGATGGAGTACAGTTCCAGACACAAATATAAAGGTTCAGAAAGGTGACCTCTTTGAGAACAATTATCATAGAATGAGAGAGAAATTGTGAAATACCTCCTGGAGGGAATTAATAATAGAAGATAGATATTGGAGCATCATGGAATAATTTTACAAATATCATTAAACTTGTACAGAAATATGTACCAAGAGGGAGATAGAAAAGAAGCATATGGATGATAAAGACAACAACAAGAACTTTAACAACTTAGCTCACCTTCTAGAATAAATACAAATACACCAAAAACCATCTGGATTGATATGTACAAAAGGATGTTAATTGCAGCTACCCAAGAAACTGGATCTAACAAAAGTAACTAAAAGAAAACTGCTGCAAACATTAAGAAATATTCCCATTCCTTTAATACTTATATAAGTAGTAAAGCCAAGTCTGCAGGTCCCGTATAATTGGGGAAAACATTGCAACAGGCTGTGGAAAGATATTGGGAAGACTTAATGCACTGTAATATATTTATGTATGTTAATAATGTACAGTAATGTAATTTATAATATACTTAATTTTTGTTGATTTAATACAGTATAGTTGGTACGAGTCATTTGTTATAGGTATTTATAATCTGAAATGTTTCCAGAGTTTCCAGAGCAGCATTTTTCCATTAACATGTTGTTATTACGCATTTCAATTCTTTTCCAGCACCCTTATTGGTTTTGGAGTGAATTGGTATGTAAGTTCTTCATGTCATAAAGCAAATCATTGAATGCTTTTTTTGTGTGCATTGTAATTATTTTTATATAAGACATTACATTGCTTCTGTAAACTTGTATTTTTTTATAAAGAAATTTAGGCCTGTGCACCCAGTATATTAGAGATTCTGAAGTTTTACATAGATAGCATATATGTATTTAGCAATGCATATAAGGTAGATTTTGTCAATAATATTGCTCTTGAATTTTTTACCAGCTTGCAAATTTTGCCTTTGTGAGAATTTACAGCATCTGAACTTTAAACTATGAGGGAAGTTATTAAGGCACAGTTATGTTAGATAATAGGGATAGTAAAACACATTTAAAGATGCAAAGAATATTGAGTGACAGTTGTGAGATAAGGCCTGACAGTTGAGTGGACTGCTCTTCGGATTCGTGATCCCAAGGTTCCGGGTTCGATCTCTGGCGGAGGTGGAAACTATTGGGCAGTTTCTTTCACCCTGATGCCCCTGTTACCTAGCAGGGGAGTTACCTGGGAGTTAAACCTCTGCTACGGGCTGCTTCCTAGGGGTGTGTAACAAAAAGGAGGCCTGGTCGAGGACCGGGCCGCAGGGATGCTAAGGCCCAAAATCATCTCAAGATAACCTGAAGATGATAGGGAGATTCAGTGTTTTGTTAATCTCTCTTAATTATTAGAGTACTGTACTATATGCAATGGTATGTTCCTCTCTCTACGGCAAGAGCAGTAGAGAGAGGAAGAGGGAGACAGAGAGGACTGCACGGTAAGGTATAGTAAATGGCAGCGTGCAGGTGGCAGGTTAGATCTTCTAGCAGGAGGTGCTTTTAACTTGAATGGAGCAAGAGAGAAGATCAGAGGGGTTAAGATTAATTAGGATTTTGAAATCAGGATAAATACAGTGTCGCTGAAAAGTAATGAAAGTATAAAATTAATTTTTAGCTTGTGCAAACTCTTTACACTACAAAAATAATTTTAATTTATACCTGCTGTCTCAAGAATCAAATACATAGTATAAAATCATCTCTTTTCAGTGCGGTGTAGTGCTGTAGGCAGGAGAGTTCAACTGTTCTTGTCACGTATATCATACAAGAGATGTGATGCACCTGAAATTTGTTTCACACGATCAAACATTGTTTTAACACTTCTCTAAGACACAACAAAAGTTATGTACAATAGCCTTTGTTGAGTGTATGATCATGTTGAACAAGTCCATGGCCCCTTGTATCTCAAGCACTTCCCCTATTCTATGCCTGAAACACTTTAGCTCCTAATGATAGCACAGGCCACGTAACCGAATAAATAGCTTAGTTCTCATGCTACTAGACCAATTAGAAAAGAATGTGATGAGCTTAGGCCAGGGAAATTTGTTGTTGTCCAGTGTTGGAGGATGGGGAGGGGGGATAGTGACCTTGTGGGCATTTGGTAGTGAGCAAGTTTGCTGCTTGGCAGTCCATGGGATTTCAGGATTAGTAGGAAGCAGGATCTCAAAAATGCTTTGTTTTATATGAATGCTCTTTTTATTTGAATTCTGGGATAGATTGAGCACCATTATTTTTAGCACCAAAAAGATATGGTGAAAACAGTTTGAAATGCTTTCCTACCTCACAAGTACATAATATTAATCTGCCTTGAATTCTCAATATCCTAGTAGGTGGTCAGTAAGATCATCCCTTAGGTAAGAATTGGAAAGTTGCATATAGTGTGTAAAATTACACCTAGTGTGTAACTTGATGCTAATAGTAAACATTAGCAAGAGTAAACATTATATTTACCTATGAACAAAAGTTATAGTTGTTATTGTGCTTAATTGAATATATCTCTTGACAATTATATTGCAGAGCTTTGTTAGAGGAGAAGTAAATGTAGGTGGTTAGACAATTTACATTTTTGGAACCTTTTGTGTAAACACTTTACAGTGAAAAAAATAACAAGCAAATTAGAAAAAGAATCAAATTTGTTGAGAACTAGGAAAGTAACTGATTTTATCGTGTACGTGTTCAGAACTGTGAGAGAATGTAATAATACCTATCTTAACCTATTAGAGAAAATGCAAACCCCGAATGGAATATCAGGATATAGGATTCGGACTTTAGTTAAATTAAGAAATGAACATGATGACTTGTAGAGAAGTGTGGGGTGTAACAAAGATGTTCACCATTAATTTCAAACAAGGAGCACACTAATCTCCAGAAGTTAAAGACCAAATAAATTTGTGTGCGAGTGCAGTGGGAGAGGCGATAGTGTGAGAGTATAGAGGTACAGTAGAGAGACAAAGGGTAAAGTGATTGGGAATACTAACCCTTGAGCTTCTACATTTGACTGTACTGTTCACCAGATCTATAACAGCTGTTTTTAATGTTTTGATGCATTGAGTGTTCACTGTTATGGTGCATTGTGTGTTCACTGTTGTGATGCATTTAGTGTTTCCTATTCTGATGCACTAAATGTTTACTGTTTTCATGCATTAAGTGTTTATTGTTTAAATGCATTAATTTACATCACTGAGATTTTGAGTTTGTATCATGGACTGAAAGTTGAGCCTGGATGTGAATGGAAACTGACTACTAGTATGTGGACATTTTTAGCATAATAAAAACATTAAATAGTATAATTTAGTTGGAAGCAAGCATTGGATTAGACTGGTCTTGTCTGCAACAAATCCTCAAAAGAAAGGGCCCAAATCAGTTCAATGTAACTACTGTTATTCTCTTTATGAATGAAATGCACATTAATCTAAATTGCAATTGGTAACATTAAAGCTTTTCTTTAGAATGACTTTCTTCACTGCCAGTACTCAAAAGTGCACTTCTCAAAATAACTCACTTCTGATATTTAATTACGCAGCTAAAGGGTTAGAAATGGTAAGAGCTGAAGAGATGAGAAGTGAAGGTGGGGAGGGAGAAAGATAAGTAACATGTATAGAATGGCAGAAATTTTACTAAAAGCAGTAAAGAGCTTTTATGAACGAAGTGAGAGTATTAGAGTATGTCTGAAGTGTCCTATTTTATAATATTAATGTAGCAGAGTCTTTCAAAGATGTGTAACAACATGTAAATTGGCACTAAATTGCAGAGGATGTTTGAATGATTGTTTACTTTGTCACAGTTCACATAGGGCACTCTGCTCCTAGTTTGTGAAATGGCTGAAATACTATACTGCCATGGATATATTGTTGGAGAGCACAGCTACTAGTTCCCCATGATACTATCATGGCTGCAAGGTTGGGGGGCATTGTCCTGTAGCCTAGTGGTTAATGCAGATGACTCTCAACTGCAGGATAAGAAGATTGAGCATTCTTCCATTCACCTAATGCGTCTGTTCACCTAGCAGTAATTAGGGTACTCGGGAGTTAGTCAACTGTTGTGGGTGAAATTCTGGATAGGTTAGTTGTTGGCCTAGAGGGACCTCAATAAGCCTAACAGGTTTCCTGTTCTCAACAATAGGAAACCATTTGTCATTACATATCCTTGACCCTTCTTTCCTGGAAGTTATGGATGGGGTTAGGAAACATACAGTACAGTGTAGTGTGGACTTGCAGGAAAAAATGATAGTGTTGAATTGTATAATGAGTTTGCTTTGGTAAGGCAAAAATGACTAGAAACTGGGGAAAAAATCTGCAATCTGAAGGAAAAACTAAGGAATAATAGAGAATAATCTCAAGTGGGCATGGGAAAAATGTAACGAACTGGAGACACTTTTGAATGATGGAGCTTATGGGCTTTCCTCTTTCTGGTCACTCTTGAAGCATAAAGGAAAAGAATGTTATGGTGAAACTAATTTGTATAAAATTGTGTTTTGAAATAAAATGAGGAAATGATATGGTAGCATAATTATTTATGTATGAATAAGGAGACTGTTGTGGATAACTTGTTTATTGGTACAAGTTTATTGGTATTTATTATATGTTGCCCCCATTCCCACACTTGTGAGGTGGTATCAACCTGGAGAAAACAAAAACTATGTTGAAAGTAGGTTATATATATTTAAATAGAAATTCTTTTCTACTTCGTGGTAATTTTTTTTTTTTTTTTAGGAAAGATGGGTTACAAAGCCCAATAATTTTCACCCCATAACATGTGATACCAGACTAATAGCACAATTCTGCAGATGTGAACAGTGGAGTAGTGTAGTTAGGCTGATGAGGAATGCTATGAAAGATGTTAGAAGAAAAAGAGGGCAGAGAATAAGACACAATAATGTTGCAGCAAAAATAACCCAACACATGCGTACAAAATGAAATGATACTGACGACGTTTTGGTCCATTCTGGACTCTTATTTCTCTCCCATTCTTCCTTTTCAAGACTTGATAGGCATTGAGGATGGATTGAAATGTTATCACTTTCATTTCATGTATTTGGGTTGGATAATTTATCTGAGAGAAAGTAGTTACAAGTGTTAGTTCTGAAGACATGAAATAGTAGTAGTTTTTTATGTCAGTTTATTAGCATTTATCTATGAAGGCTCTTCCGTTAGGTAAGAAAGCATTGAAGATTGTTATTGGAAGATGTGGCTCGGTATGCTGCAATGTATACGTGTATGTGAAGCCAAAATCTACTACAACAGAACACTAAGTATCTTGGGAAATATAATGTATCTCATTTGTCAGTTTTGGTGATTTTCTAGGTTTTGTGTTTTTATGGAAGTATATTTAAATTTTGCTTTATCTGTATTTTTAGCAGGTGGATGGTAATCTATGTGAGTTACGACCACTGAGTAGTAGCAACCCAACTCTGGCTCTGCATAGTGCGTGTTGGCATCCATCTGCCTCACGTCCCCACAGCTATTCTGATGCTTCTACAGCTGTTGTGGGAGGCGCTCAGCCCCCCAACACTCCGTCACCAACGTCACAGACTCATCATCAGGCAGCCATTCCCCCTACTATCACTTTGTCCATGGAAAGTACATCTCGGGAAGATTTTACAATATTGGCTAAGGAAGGTAGGAATACGTGAACGACCACAATAAACCTTTGAAGCTAATATTTTGTATATGAATGGTTGAACATTTCCAGCATTAGAATTTAGGTTTATGATATCCTGCAAAGGTCATGTTTTATTGATTTGAATTTGAAGCAAAAGGCTTTTTAAAAAAACAATAAATCTTCATTAGTGTAAGTTGTGTGTGCAGTGTTGCAAAAACAAATGAACATAACTGCACTCAAAATTATAAACAATTAGCTCTAATACCAGTGGATTGTCCAGGCAGTCTTTAGCTTGGATTGCAATATTCAGAAGGTTTTAACTGAAGGCAGTTTTCTACAATAATGTATGCTACTGATACTTCTGCATGTTTCTTAACCATATTTATTCCCTCTATATAATATTTTGAACAACATCCAGGAACTTAAGACATTTATACTTGTTAATAAAAATAAATTGTCTACTTTTTTTCTAGGAAAGCAGAGGCATTTGGGTATATTTCCTTGAACCAGATGCAACTATTCACCTAGTGGTGAAAAAGTACTCATGCATTAGGGTATTGTTATGGGTTGCATACTGGGGATGTTTACATCTTTGGCCTAAGGGGAACTCAATAAGCCCAGCACATACTGTTACTGGCAGTGGAAAACCATATACTGTACAGTATACCATAGCATTCAAGTTGACTCGGTGTTCTCCAAAATATTACAAATTTGTAGACAATAAGTCAAAGTAATGTGGTTGAAAGAAATAATCCAGACATATGAAATAAAAAATGATGTTTTACCTGGGTTTACCTGAGAGCCACTAACACTAGTTGCCTCAACGAGGACAGGAAGCTGGTGGCTTGTCGAAGGTCTCCCCCCCCCCATTTGCCTTGATGAACTTTTCCAGCTGTACTTTAAACGTTAGGAGTTTTGGCATTTACAGCTTCGGCAGGTACGCGATTCCATGGGTTAATAATAATAATCCTGTGGGTGAAAAAGCATCCAATGTTCTCAGTCCTACATTGTGGCTTGTTGAGCTTGAAACCATTGCTCCTTGTTTGTTACATTATTCCCTCTATTTTGAACAACATCCTGAAACTTAAATCATTTATACTTGTTAATAAAAGTAAATTGTCAAATTTTTCCTGGGAAACCAGAGACGTTTTGATATGTACCAAAAAACTAAAACTCGTACCAAAACTAAAATGTTTTGATCCCTCCTGGACACTTACCATGACTTGACAGGTCCAAGACATGCCCAAATGTCATCACTTTCATTTGTATTCTATGTGTGTTGGTTTATTAACTTTTATATATTTCTTACAGTTGTAAGTCAAGTTGGACAAGTCCTGCGTGGGATCCAGACGGAGAGAGAGAAGCTTCGTCAAGCCCTTGAGTCTGAAACTAACCTCTTGGCATCTCATAACACCACAACAATCATTGCTGCACTAAGAAACTCCCTTAATCAGGTAAGCCATGTCTGTGACCAGCTGTTCTTGCTTGATAATTTGTATTATTTATGATTAACAAGGACATTGTATTCGGCTTTGAATAAGCCGCAGCAAATTTGGTAAAAATGCACTAATTTGAAGGGTATTATGTTTGTCTTACAACTGTGTTGAAGATGAGGCCCTGTGTGTTGTTGGGGTCACTGTTAACAAACTAATGTACAAGTGAAATGCAATTAATATGTACGTCATTGATAATGAAAGTTAATAAAATTGGTGGTGTTAGCTTTTAAATTTGAGTAGATTTTGATATTGACAGCATTAACATTTTCGCGTCCCCTGGTATGTGCGCCCCAGTCTACTTCAATGTGCGCTGGGCGTTTTGTGTCAGTGCGCGGCCAGACTAAAATATGTATACTCTCTCCAGTTTTCTCACCTCAATTTTTGTTACGTAGTTCATTTTGGTGTCAATGTGTTCTTAATAGAATTCCCTACAGGGGTATATGCGTATGTTATCATCAGAAAAATGGGAACATAAATGATCTGATGTTCCCATCACTATAAAATAAGAACGGTTAAAAAAAAAAAAATGAAAAACAATGAAAAAATACAAAAATAAACTATACTCACGAAATGAATGGTATAGAAAACAATACAGCTGAATTGCAATGCAATTTCACACAAAATAATTAAATCAAAATGAAAATAAATCAAAATCTATGAAAATTCAGTTGATCAATGCAGCTGGAAACATTGAAATGGAATCGTAACATATTGAGTATAGTGTGTGTTGCTTTTACATGCCACAGATGGTGCTTTTTTTTTTTTAAACAAAGCATTTTTTACCTGTCACAGGTGTGGCATCTATGTAGTAGGTATATAAAAACATGCACGTATTTGAATGGGATGTTGTATCAAAATTTCAAAGCAATCGGTGAAGAACTTTCGGAGATTACAGCATGTGTTGCTCTTACGTCCAACAGATGGCGCTGCTTTTCCAAAAAAGCATACTTTTGCCTGTCAGGTGTGGCATGTATATAGTAGGTATATAAAAACACGCTCATATTCGAATGCAATGTTGTGTCAAAATTTCAAAGCAATTGGTAAAAAGAATTTGGAGATTTCCCTCACATGAAAACTCACATGAAAAACACAGTTTTTCAAAAAAGCATGTTTTTACCTTTCACAGATGTGACATCTATATAGTAGGTATATGAAAACACGCTCGTATGAGATTGGAACGGTGTGTCAAAATTTCAAAGCAATCGGTGAAGAACTTTCAGATATAAGGGATTATGAACAAATGAATATTTACATTATACTGTGTGTGTGTGTCCTATTTCCCTATCATATCTAGTTTTAAAATTATGAATAGAGTTTGATTCCACAACCTGCTCTTTAAGTGCATTCCATTTTTCCACTATCACGCTAAAAGAAAACTTCCTAACATCTCTGGCAGCGACTTGGTGACATCATGCTCATTTGCTCATGTTTGGGGAGTTATGCCCACTAGTTCAGCCTTTAGTCGCAATTTCTTAACCAGAATAGGAGGTTTGTTTTGGGATGCTTACCTTTCTATATGCCTGACCTGGTTGATGGCAGACATCGAATGCTTCCAACTACATGGGGGTTTCTATAGGCCATTGCCCCTTGTGCCTCTCCAAGAGGGGCCAGATTCTGGCTCGTGGTCCCCGGTAGGCAGAACTTCATGCATTGATTGATGCCAGACAGATATACATATCCATCCAGCCTGGATAGCTCCAGGGAGCCTCTGGGACTTGCCCAGAAAATGGTGTTTCAAAAACGCTTTTTTTTTCAGGCTCTACAGCAAAATGCAGAATTACGAGGTCGTTTGGCAAGGATTCATGCCGACTCTGACTTGTCTGATATCTCTGTACCACCTTCTATGTCTGAACTTGTAAGTATTGATTTTGTATTGTAGATCAACAGTTATGGATGTTCCCTGTCCTTAGTGCTAAATACTGGATTGTTGCACTTGATTAAATGGTGTTTTTCTCAGCTGTCTAATTATGTAAACTGTTATTTGTGTGGTACTCTTCCAGGATTAATTTTGTATTTTGTGTACTGTTGTAAATGATATGCCTGTTTTGCCTAAAATAGGTAAATTCAACTTAAAATGTACAGAACCTTGTGTTGCATGACAATTTTCTCTTGTCTGTTGCAGATGTTTCTCTTATGATTCATAATTTGTGTCCATCCTAACCCTTATGCTTGTTTTTTATATTTCATGTAATAAATGTGGATTGTGGCTTGTGGATCTGAGTCTTGTCTTGAGTAAAATTTGTAATTTTTTAGTTTGAAGGTTTACCTTTAAATATAAAGCATTATACCCTTTAATTTTACCCTCACATAACATTTTCCAGATAAAAGTTTACCTAACGAGTGATGAAATGAAGTGAACATGACGGTGCAATGCCATTATAGTACTACATATTTGGGGGAGGAATCCCAGACTCCCATACTGTAAATATAATATACTGTACAGCATTTCATCATTTAGGCATTATTATTAATATTACAGTATATAATAGAAATTTTACCAATGCTGCCTACTGCAAAATGTGCAACTCCATTAAATTAATTTTAACTACAGTACAGTGGGACCTGAAATATACAGAAAGATTTTCAACAAATTGCTATTTTGTTTTCAATAGTAAATGTTACTCAGAAAATAGTTTTGTTTTCTAAATTTAGCATTTAAATTAGGAGTAAAAGTGATGCCATACAGTACTGTAATTGCATGAAACTTTGCGGGTGACCCGGTACTGATGATGCCGGCACATCTTGGCACGGTACTTTTTCCTCTGTGCTAGCTCAGATGAATTATCATGACTCGGCAATTATTATATATATATTTTTTAATACTTCATAATTTGCTAGTAAAGATGTCTTTTGGCAAGAGTAGTCAGGGTAGAGTAGGTAAGGTTAAGAAGGATTTTCTTTTCATTGACAAAATGGTGCATTTGTTAGGGAATGTGATTGTGGCTGGAGAGTGAAGACGCAGACGGCAATGTTTGTTATTGGCGCTGGCACTGTTAATAATTGTAAAAATAAACTAACAAAGATTATGAAGTTTATTGCTAATAAAGCAAACATAGAGGGGAAGATGCTCAGGGCCCCATAAACAGGACAGTTTAGACCACAGAGTTTACAAGTAGTTTATGCAGCAGCAGTGTTGGGGTAACTGGTGGTGGTGGTGGTGAGAAAATTAAGAATGCATCAAAGAAATTTGCTCATATCTTACCCATTGACAACTGTATGACAAGCTGTGGGTGGCTTCATAATTTAAAATATGGCAGGAAGATCTGTGAGGAAACATTGAGTGCTGATGTAGGAGGAGAGAAGTACAGTAATTTAAAAGGAGTTGTAGGAGGTTGTGGGTGACAATAAATTAAATTTCTTCCAGATCTGCAATACTGATGAAACTGGACTACTTTGGAGAAGTATGCCAACTGTGCCAGACCGAAAGGTTAGTAAAAAAGTTTCAGCTACGGTGGGTGCTTATGCAAATATCCCACTTTGCCTAAAAATGTAATTTGTATGTAAGACAGCAAGGGTGAGGTCATTAGAAAACTGCCTGCCAAGACTTCCTCTGTTCTATTACCATGCCAAAGTGGTTGCTGTAGTCATGAAAGTTGCTAACAAAATAAAGAATGATGAAGATATGGGAAATGCAGACGTTGTTGCTGGACGAGTCTCCCACACCATGTGGTGAACGACTTGAGGTCAGTTGAAGGTGAAATATGTATGGCTCTTCCACCAAAAGGACCTCTCTAGTTCAGCTTATGAATCAGGTTATAATTTATACTACAGAAAGAGATTTGTTGGGTCTGGTATTGGTGATATGGAGAGACAAAAACTACTTATGGACAAACTAGAAATCTTAGTTTACACAATTTGTGATGCCATTTACAGGTATGATACTTTGGATTTAGTGAAGTACAGTATATTGCAAAAGTCTTAGAATAAATTGACAAAACCTGAAAATGTGAATGATGATTGTAATGGGAATAGGGATTTTAGGGGTTTATATGTTCAGATTGATGAAAGATTTTAGAGAGGCAGGGCAGGGCAGTGCTTTATTTGAGAATGTTATGGCATGGTTACAGAAGGGAGATGACCTTGGACATGGTATACTAATAGAGACTCAAGTTGCTGGGAGTGTTGGTGTCTGACTGCTGTTGATTTATCTGTTGTATGCTTCCTGCAAGACAGATGAGGATGATACTGTAGCTCTGTATCCAAGCTTGAGTGGCAAAGGAATTTTACCCAAGAGATTAGCAGTTAAAGACGTGTCAGTATCTAGCTTTTTAGTCAAATTTCTTTTAATATAAATAGCAGAGATTGAAACAGGACTTATAACTAGTACAGATTCCTTAACTAGTGCAGGTCCCTCAACTAGAATAGGGGGCCTGACAGCTGAGTGGACAACGCTTCGGATTTATAGTCCTGAGGTTCTGGGTTCGATCCCTGGTGGAGGCGGAAACAAATGGGCAGAGTTTCTTTCACCCTGATGTCCCGGTTATCTAGCAGTAAATAGGTATCTGGGAGTTAAACAGCTGCTACGGGCTGCTTCCTGGGGGGCGTGTAACGTAAGGAGGCCGGGTCGAAGACCGAGCCGCGGGGACCCTAAGCCCTGAAATCATTTCAAGATAACCTCAAGAGTCAAGTTTTAAAAGGTCCCTTGAGCAGTGCTAGTGGCAAGTCAACACCAGCTGTCAGTCAGCATTATTGTCTTAAGTTAAAATTATTTAGTTTTTGTTTAGTTTTGACTACTCTCCAAAAAAGGCATCTTTTCATAACTAAATTTCTTACTTGTTACTGTATTGTATAGGGCTTTAGAATTGGTAAGTTTATTTCAATATTAAATGTTCAGTTACAGCCATGAATGACAATATTGCTGTAACTAGGATAGAAATGCTTAACAATAAGGTCAGTATTGCTTTAATGAAAAATTAATGTTTATGCTTTTTTTGTGTAAATGTGCAAACTGTTATGTAATGTAATACCATTTCTGATAAAGAAAAGGGAAGAATATAAAACAATGTGATGTATTTAAAACTTGAGTGTATTTGGAAGCTTGGAAAGGGTTTGGAGCAATCTAGTCCAGATTTCCAGGTCCCACTGTACTACTACCTTTCACTAAAGTTTTAACGTCAATGTATGCAGTTTGTAGCACACATCCTTTATCATATTCATGTATCACACGGAAGTGAAAATACATTCTTACCAGTAAATTTATTAAAAAGATAAATTATTCAAACTGTTTTCAGAGCTATCCCACTCAGTTGCTCCCTAAGGAACGATCCTACTGGTCTCTGGGATAGGATCGTGAAACAGTCGGGACAGGTAAATATTTTACACTGGTGTGTGTGTGTGTTTGTGTGTGTGGCATCTTTTTAAACGTCCCTACTTGGCATCACTGGGACAGCCAAGATGCTGACCTCTGGTTAGCATGGAAGGCTGATGCCCTATAACATCACCAGGTGGCCACACCGCCAACACAACAGGATTCCCTTTTGTGTTTGTGGGCTCCTCACATTGTTCGATAGGTCTCCATGACAGGCAGGTGAAGACCAAAACTGACTGGTCTCCATGTATCCATGACATGAAGTTGACATGTGTTAATCCTCATAAACTTTTTGACTATGGCAAGGGTTCATGGTTATTCATAATGCTCAAATATATTTCACCCTATGTTTTTCCATGGTTGGAATCAAGAAGTTTGTTAGGCTTATCGAGCTCACCCAGGTTGAACTACTGACCTTTCCCTGGATGCAAGCAGCAACTGTTGTCTAACTACTAGGTACCTACTAGAACCTAATGGTACCTACCATTAATACCTATTTACTGCCAGGTGAACAGACATCATGTGAAAGGAAACATTGTCCTGCCATATAAATTGAACTGGGGACACCTAATCTGTGACCCAACTGTGCATTTCCACTGCACCACAGAATATGTACAAATTTTGTGTCCAGACAGTTACCAACCAGGTCACTCGGTTCTGGTTCAATAGTGCACTATTCTCTTAGAGTTTACCACTTCATTTGCAGTTCTTTGGAATGTAATGTCTCCGAGACATGGGTTTCTGTAACATTGCCCAGGGTACACTCGATCTCTACTTAACTTTGCCACAGAATGTATGTGGCATGCTTGGCAATCACCGATCACTACAAAAAACAAAATTTGGGAATTCACACAAGAAGGCATGAGTACAGATGGGCTTTTCTGTGGGCAGCCCCTTCGGCTCCCTGGAGCTTATTGGACCAATTTACACTGCATTAGTCTGGGGCTCCAGTCAATGGAGTTCTGCCTACCGGGGACCATGAGCCAGAACCTGGCCCCCTCAGAGAGGTGCAGGCAGCAATGGCCTAAGGAAACCCCCTTGTATTTGGGAGTATTCCATGTCTGCCATCGACCGGGGTTAGGCACCCAGAAAGGTAGGCATTCCAAAACAAACCCCACTTGGTAGGAAATTGCAACCCAAGACCAAACAGAGAAACAGAACTCGCTAAATAGAAAACAAACAAACGTCATCCACTGCCGCCACGCTGTTGAATTTTCCCCTTTTGTCTGTTGTTGTTTACAGATGGTGCTGTGACTCGGTTTCTACTGGCAGCCTCATCTAGTTGCCGTCCTCTTTCGGATTTGTTGGTTCTCTGGGGTGGCCATTCTTGGGCCTCTCGGAAGGGTCGTGCCAGGGCTCGGGGTTCTTCTAGTCGAGGTGGGCCCTTGGTGCCAGTTTCTGATCCGGCGCCTCCTTCAGATCCGGCATTGTCTGGTCGGTGCAATGTTCACTTTGCTCATCGGCTGGCTTCTCATAAGGGGCATCGGCTTTCTCGTTGGTCGCCCCATTGATGGGGCGCTGGGTGGAGGCTGGCTGGCTCTGTTTGCCCACGCTTGGTCCCACGATTTGTGGGCATTTGGGTCGTGTCCTTTGGCCTGTGGTGGTGATGGGTGGCTCCTCCTCCTCCTGGGGGTTCAGGGCTGGCGGGACAGGCTTCTTCCCCATCACTCTGTCAGGTCACATCTTGGAGTGGGTGTATGCTTGGACGGTGTCGAAACGTCCTCAGATGGGTTTCCTGCCTGTTTACAGTACCAAAACAGGACTGTGCAGATCTTTGGTTCATTCTGGACCTGTCCGTCTGAACTGCTGGATTCCTTGCCCCTCCTTTCAGATGACCACTTTGTGCCAGGTCCGGCTTCTCTTGGAGCCGGGGTGTTGGATGGTGTTTCTGGACATCTAAGACGCGTATTGGCGATTCATCCGGGGTTCAGGAACTGGTTAGGTTTCGTCGTGGGGTGGCATGCTTACCTCTTCATTGCCTTCCTTTTGGCTCGAATCTGGCACCTCTCTTTTTCATGCGTCTTACCCGGAGTCGTGGTGACCCGTCTGCGTCAGCTAAGGGTTCTGGCCTTCCTTGATGACTGGTTGGTGTGGTCTCCCAGCTGGTCTGCTTGTCTGCTTGCCAGAGGTGGTGTGGTTCTTTCCCAGCCTGCCAGGTTCGGGTTACTGGTGTGAACTGGAGGAAATCCCATCAGGTTCCGTCCCAGGTTCGGATCTGACTGGCCTCGTGTGGTACTTGCGGACCACTTCCATGTCTCTCCCTCCTGTGGTGTTGCTGAAGCTGCAGCCCAGCCTTCAGCTGTTCCTGGGGAAGTCCCAGGTCACCCTGTGGTTGCTTGAGCAGTTGTGCGGGAGTCTGAACCTCGCCGTATTGGTTTACCTGCTGGGTCGGGTCTGGCTATGGAGCCTTTTTTTTTTTTCTTTTTTTGGATGGAGCATATCCTTGTTCAGACCTGGTTGTCCATCCTCATACCCATTATGTTCTCTGTTCATTTATGTCATTTGTGTTAATATCTTCATTTTAGTTTCTATGCACTCACTTTTCTAGTCTTTCTTGTAATCTACACCTTATAATGGTTCTTCTCTTCTAGTTACTTTACAAAGTGGTAGAACTAGGTTATATACAGGTATATCCTGAAGCACATAACCTGCGTAACTTTGCCACACTTCAGGTGTTCATCTCACTGATGTTCTGTTTTGATTTCGTAGTTCAGGGGTTCTTTGGGTTTCTCTGTTCATTTGTGGCCAAATAACTCATGAGACTCATCACTATGCCATTAATGTGTTGCTCTGGGTTAACTCTCCTCCAGGTAACCAACTCCTGGTCTGGTGTTGGTCTTGGTGCCCTCTTGTGGCTGTAGCTAAGCTGCTGGACACTTTCATTCCCTGTTGCTTTTATGAGCATCAGTTTGTGACACAGGTGAATCATCTCAACATTTGTATTGTTCTCTTCTTGTCAGCCTCTGATCTGATTCTTGATGTAGGTAGTAACTACGGTTAGTGGTACTGTATATAAAAAATGTGAGTTATTGTGACTCCTTGTCTGCAAAAATATGGCTTTTTGTGGTGGTCTGGGGTAGTGATTGGTAGTTAGCAAGAGTGCTACTTGGCAATCCCTGTGATATCAGGTAGTGGTTGGAAAGGCTTTGCATTTATATAATTGGTTGTCTTCAGGTCTTTCTAGGCTGGATTAAATTTTCTCGAGTGTCTAACTAGCACCATTTACCAACCTGTCCTCACATTTTTAATGCTATCATTCAGTGTAAAAAATCCAGTGGTTTAGTGAAATTTAAGGCACTATAATAATGATGCTTTCTCAGACTGGTGAGCATTAACTTCAGTAGGTTAGTTGTGTTGCCTTGACTCTAAAGACTCTAATAAGGTAAAAAACACTTCAAATTTGATATATAAAGCAATGAGAACAAGCTCCCATTATCTTCCAGCAGGAACATTTCAAAAGATCCGTGCTACATGGTGCAGAAAGTCTGTGCCTTCCACTGTTTCATGATCCTGTCCAAGGGCCCAGTTTGATCATGCCTTATTGAGCAATTCAATGATTTACTAATTAGAGCTTTTCATATCCACTCAAAGCCCTTATATAAAAAAATAATTCTTGTGTGTATTTAATTATAAATTACTGATTACTGGAGTTTGTTGTCACAGCTGCACAAGTCACTGCACACATCCCTGTCATACGAGAGCAGCTCGTGCTTCAGTGCCTCTGAGTACTTCGATGCTGCAGATGCATTTAGTGATGCAGGAGCTACAGATACTAGTTCAGAGGCTTCGTCAGATAACAGCTCCTTTACGAGTGAAGCAAGTGATGCTGGCACTGATGCTCATCCTAGTGGTAAGTGCAGTGTGTCGTTTGGTGATGATTAATGGAATACATTTGAACATAGCCATTTTCCATGTTGAAGGAGCCAGATTTTAAGAATTATTCATTTTTTGTTGAATGTGCACTTGTTTTTCCCTTGTGTGTAGAAGCAAAGGTGTAGGATGTTTTCTCCTTATATATATTATGTGAATGTGTTTGCAAGGAGGGAATCTTACTAAACAGATAGTTGGGATGTTAAAATAAATACTTTGAGTGTAACAATACAAGAAGCAAGGTTCTGTGACACTGATCGAGTGTTTGTTAATATTGGCTTTGAATCATTTATTACATTCTTTTCATCACATTTTTCTTGTATTCTTGTGTAAGAAGCCTTTGAAGTTTTACATTTAACAGGTTTATTAAAGCTCATTTTGATGTCACTTGTTAAACATGAACATCAATGGCAGTTGTTCTATTTGTTAGTGTCAGTAGTTTAGTAAATTGACATGTTAACATGTCATTCATTGACTGAAAACTTCACTGAAGCACTTTGGTTTTTCCCTGGAGATTGTCTTGACTAGTAGTAGCAACGGCTTTGATCTAAGGTTACATTTCATTGTTTAACTAAGAACATTTTTCAGAAAGCCAATGGATATGGGAGTATTTTACTCTAGACTAACAAGGAAGAGGTTAGTCTCTACCAACCTAGGCACCTTTGTCCTAGAAGAACTTTTATTTTGTATTTTGTTTTTTAGTTGTCTTAATACATGTTGAACCAGTGGACCATTTTCAATGAGCCTACATATGGGTTTATTGTATTCAATAATGGTGCATAATGTGGTTTCTTAATTCTAAGAATGTTGACTAATCTGTCCTCAGAGGAGTTGGGCATTAATTAATGATCTTCAATTTCTCATCAATTCACATGAAGACCATTGGTCTTGGCATTTGGTTTTGTAGATTGCATCAACTTTATTAGTCGAGATTAATGATTGTATAGTAAAAAAGTTTAAAGTAAGCAATGTTTATCCTCCACACCGTGGATAGCATGAGCTCTCCCATCTTTGATAACTCCTGTCGCTATTATCCTCTGAAACCCAGACCCTTCGATGCATTGGGATGAGGTGTGTGAAGGGCACCTGATGTGTTGGGATGAGGTGTAGAAAGCCTCCTGATGTGTTGGGAGATGTGGAGTGTGAGGTCTCCTGATGTGAGATGTGTGAATTTGTCTTTTTGTTTTTGTTATCTCTAATTTTTCCTTCAAAGATTAACTGATCATGGGATGGATTTTGTCTGTATTATCCTATGAATGATGCTTTATTTTTTACTACACTGAAACACCACTTAGGATTCTATTCATATTATTTTGGTCTCTTGAGCAGGTCAGCCAGGCTGAAGGTATCTGCAGTTTACATTCTGTCTTAGGCTCTGGATAAGGGACTATTTCAGTGAACATGTCAGGTTCCATCTTGATGGAAGGAGTGTGTAGGTAATTTCTCTTACTTTTAAATTATGTGCTTCCCGAGGCAGTCTCCCTTCTGTACACGTTATTGTTTTCCAGGGAAAACTAGTGGTAAGCTGCTTCATGTATGGGATAATCAAAGCCGTTTTTGGAGCTTGCATAAATGTTTCCAGTAGTGCTTCGGAACTTTTTAACATTTCAAAGTGAGTGAAATAGAGAATCTGGGGAACACTTACCGACAGTTGATGGCATTGACACACAGTTCAGTAGAGTAAACAAGGCTTGGAATATGCACAGGAGGCACAAGTTACATGCAAGACCAAGTTGTGCTTACGAGAAAAAAAAGAGTTCTTGTTCATCAACCGTTTTTCATCTATAGTGGGCTAATTATATATTCTAAAAAAAGTAGTGAAAGTTAATTATAGGTAGTGATAATTACTAGGTAATTGCAAGCAATGTGGACAATAATTTATACGGAAAATGTAAAGGTTCAAAACAGGAGTCTGGCAATGGGGTGCTGTTGATTCTCCATTTTCTGTAATGACCTGTCTTCTTCAAACACAAACAAGGTTCATATTTTTTCATTAGATTTATTATTTCATTATACCAAATAATAACTAAATAGGGGTAAGTAACTTAAAATAAAAAAAAAATTGTATTTCCTCTTTTAATACAATAGAGTAGCTGTATATAGTACCCATTCTCAGTGTTGTGCCGTCCAACCTATGTATTTACTTTTAAGTTTGAGTTGAGCAGAATTATGCTCGAATGGATTGTGGTGAAACAGAACTTTTGGTGAAAGAATTACATGGTAGTTAACACACACATTCTTGGCGAGCTGTGATATGTTGTCCACTCTACCAAGCTGTCTTGGTAGACCAGCTTAACTTGGCAGAAAAAATATGAATATTTCATATTTTTTTCAAAGATTTTATTCTCCTGCCTTTAGAAGTACAATAAATATTATACGTTGAAATTGGATAAAGCTGTGTGCTGTAATAAGAGCTTTTAACTCGTTCTGTGGTGGACACAGAGCTATATTCTAGCCAAGAGTGTCCTGGCTAGGTGCATTCCCCCGTGATCATGTGGCAGGAACTCTCAATAGTTAGTGATTTGTGTGTAGCCATATTTCTTTGGCCATTTTATTTGAGTTAGGAAGATGTCTACTAGTAGCAGTAGTCAGGCTAAAGCAGGAAGGGCAAAAAGAGGTACGTTACTAAGGAATGGCTAAATAGATAAGATAAAAGTGAACAACCCTGGGAAGTACCAAGTGAGAGAGAACTGGTGTCAATGGTTCATAGTGAAAAATAATCAAGAAATCAAAGAAAGTGGAGCAAGATAAGGCTGCTTTAAGTGATTTATGCAGCAACATCATAGTGTGGCAGTTTTATGCAGTGTTTGTTTTGTTTTGAATACAGTACAGTACTACTACTATTTGGTACAGTTCTCTATAACTACATTCCTACTGCAGAGATTAACAGGGGAAAAATATGCTAGTCTTAAAGGTAAGTAGAAATTAAATTTTCTTGTTTTTTAATTTATTTTTGTATTCCAATATTTTACCTCCAAGTACCTGTATACTGTATATATGTGCAGAGCTCTGTTTTCATTTAGTCAGAACATTTAAATTAATGCTTTTCTGGGGGGAGCTCCATCGGCTCCCCGGAGCTATCCAGGCTGATATGGATATATTAGATTTCTGGCATCGGTCAATGTGCATGGAGTTCTAGGCCTACCGGGGACCACGAGCCAGAACCTGGCACTCTTAGAGAGGCACGAGGAGCTATGGCCTATAGAAATTCCTGTGTGGTTGGAAGCATTCTGTGTCTGCCATCGATCAGGTCAGGTACCCATAAAGGTAACCACCCCAAAACAAACCCCTATTCTGGTGAAAACTTTGCTAAAAAGAGCCAAACTACGGGTCCGAAGGAAGACCCTCGGTTCAGACACCAAGCAAGCAAAAGACACAGCGGAGGTAGTTTCCAAGGTGACTTGTGAAAGGTGGCCCCAAGCCCCAAGGGCAGTACTTACAGGGCACCTAGGGAAGGAAACCCTAGGCACATGCAGCCTGAGTACTGAAGAAATTACTCCTGGCTCGCACACCGACCATAGAGACAGCACTACACCACAAGGCACAGAACTGAAACAATTTTCTGGAACCAGAGGCACAGAACTGAAACAATTTTCTGGAACCAGACACACACGACGTTGCCAGTGTCACATCAGCCAATAACTGAAGAGTGGGTAGCCGGCATGAAGGTCTGGGGCTCCCCCTTTACCCTCCTGGGGAGGGGGGGTATTTTGTGCAGACAGCGGCACAGCAACGTGGTGATGTCATGCTTTTTTCCTTGTTTTCATTTGGGGAGTTCTGTCCACTCATTCAGGTCTTTTTAGCAATGTTTTCACCAGGATAGGGGTTTCTTTGGGGCGCTTACCTTTCTGAGTGCCTGACCCAGTCGATGGCAGACATAACAGTGCTTCTAACCACACGGGGGGTTTCTATAGGCCATTGCTCCTCGTGCATCTCTGAGGTTCTGGCTTGTGGTCCCCGGTAGGTCTAGAACTCCATGCACATTGACTGGTACCAGAAATCTAATATCCATATCAGCCTGGATAGCTCCAGGGAGCCTCCAGGTCTCACCCAGAAAATGGCATTTCATTACATTCGACGATATTTTTTTTAATAAATACTATAACAAAAAAATGGCAAAATTCTCTATCCGCCAGAATCCTTGGTAAATGGAGCAAGTCCTGTCCTAATTATACATATTGGGTTAACACACACTCCTTGCCTCTTTGTCTGTAATATCCAATTACACCAGTGACAGTTTCACTGACTATTTGTTTGCATTGTCTGTGGGGCCATCACAAATTTTTCAACTGACAATCCTTGATATTTCATTGAAAATATTGAATATCCTATCATCTTCTTGGCTTAAAATTAAATAGATGTGTCAATGAAGGTTTCTATTAGCAGGAGACACAAAAGGAAGATAATGTTGTGCCAGAGAGACAGCCAGGTAGATGGTCTCTCTCACATGTTAGGCCTACCTGTGCTGGGCCTTGCAGGGCTAGTTGGGCAGATATAATGTTGCTTCATCATAATTTGCCAGTAACGGCAACAACGAAACCCTAATATTTACTTATTGATCTTTACAGTTCAGTTTTCCATGTATGTGTTTTTAAGTTTGAGGTGAGGTTTGTGTGCTGTAAGGTGACCTCACACATGGGTGCTGCAGTGTGTTAGCTACAAACATCTGGTGGGAGTCACCGTCTTTTGTCATCCTCACTCCTTGCTTTCCTGCTCCATCGCTGAGGTGTTGTAGGTCTTATGGAGAGCTGTTTTGTTTGGGAGACCATGAGTGTTCCCAAGGGCCCTTGTTCTTCAGAATACTGTATGTCACTTTGATGGCATTCTTCTAGATGTCACTAGCTAACTTCAAGATCTGGGTTTCTTGTGGTTGAACAGTGTGTGTGTTGCCTGTTTTTGCCCTGCTGTTTTCTACCTTGGCCAAGCTCTATGGTGTTGCCCTAGGGAAGTTTTTCTCATCCATGAGACCTGACATTCCTTTAGCTTAATCCTGCAACCATATTGATAGGTCAGTCCTGCAACCATCATGGGTCAGTCTTTACTTAATTTGTTCTTTCTGGTATGCTTGGAGACATACAGCTTGATAGTCTCCTGGAAAAAACTTATCTTGTTCTCTAGCTGTGGCATTGTGGGAAAGTAGCCGATATAAGTTATTGAGGATGCTTGCCAAAATATACAGTGCCGAGTTTAATAAAATGCCTTGGTAACTTCCTGAACCCACCCTTGTATTTTTTCTCCGTTGCGAGTCTTTTAAGGTTAAGCTCGAGAGTGAAGGGTCCGTCTCGCCTGGACATGTTCCATCGCCACTCGTATAATCATTGTGAAGAGGAATCTTTTGCACAATTTGCACCAATCATAATGATTATCATGAGACTAGCTTGTTACTGATGGCTATCCACAGATTGTTGTTGCATGGTAATTGCATGTATCATAAACAAATATTTATTGCAATGGTCAAATAAGTTATCACATTAGCCAACCACATTTAAGCAGATTCAGGTTTGAATGTGTCTTGTTTGATGATGTTTGCCTGTACTATACTGTACTTTCATGAATATTTAAGATTCTTTCATATATGCATAGACTTTATTAGCATGAATTAATTTGCAGGGAGTTTTTGTTTATACTGTATGTTCTTAGTTTCACATCCTGTGGACTATAGTGGTTGGGGGAATTGGGCTGAGGACTCGTCTCCAAATTTCTCCTACTGAAATTGAAATACCGAATAGTCCTAGATTTTAGACCCACCTGTCCAGGCCTCGGAAAGCATAGACTAAGTTTGTATGGTTGTCGACTCCCCGGAGCTATCCAGGCTGACATGCTAACTTTAGACTTTGGCATCAGTCATGTATATGGAGTTCTGTGGGCCTACCGGGGACAACGAGCCAGAACCTGGCTTCCTCTAGAAAGGCAAGGGAAGCAATGACCTATAGAAACCCCCATGTGACTGGAAGCATTCTATGTCTTCCATCGACCAGGTTAGGCATCCCAAAACAAACTCCTATTCTGGTGAAAATTGCAACCAAAAGCCAAACGAGTGGGTAGAACTCCCCAAACAAGAATGAGTAAACTAGTATGACGTCACCCTTCGTCACACCACTGTCTGCACAGCTCTCCCCCTCCCCGGGAGGGGGAAGGGGTTCAATATATACATGAGGGAGGTCAATGAAAGAATGTTTAATGGGTGTAAACCTAGTGCTCCAGTATAGGCCTAATATGAGTATTTGGACATGTCACATTTAGTGTATACACATGACAGTTTCTTTAACAGAGCAAACGTGAGCTATGTAGGCTAGGTGACAATTTTATTCAGGTATTACTTAAAACTCTTACCTTCTTTTAAACACATTACTTCCCATTTTTCTCGAGGCTGATGTCTAACTATTTCCGTGAAAGTGGGAAATAGGAGAGTATGAGATATGAATATATTTCATGTATATATATTTCCTTCAACTAAGTTCTGCTACTTTTAAAAGAATTGATCACTTTCTAAGAAGATGGGTCCACTTAGGATAGGTGAGGGGCATGATTAACACCTCCCCATTTTCCCCATTGTTGAAGAAAGAGAACCCTGTTGGGCTTTTTGAGGACTCTATAAATCAGTGACTAACCTTCCCCAGGATGTGACTTACAACAGTTGCCCAACTCCTGGGCATATACATTTACTGTTAGGAAACGTGCCGAAACGTCTTGTCCTGTTCGGTAATGAAATCCAGAACCATTTGATGGTTTTCTTCCCTGTCTTCCTAGTTATTGATTTTCATTTCTGAAGCACGCTATGTAATATAGTACAGTATATTGCATATAATATAGCATTTGGCTTGTTAGGTTGTCATGTATATATACTTACCATATAGAAAAGCCCAGAAGACGAGGTCATGTTGTTGTGTTTAGTACTGTAATTAGTGATGACAACTGCATATGCCTTTGTGAGAGACATACCACTATTGTAGAAACTAATTGGATGTCAAGTGTAGAAACTTTGCCTCTACAGTATATATATTAATGAATTATAGAGAAAGCTTTAATGATTGTGATGTTTCTATCAATTTCTCTCTTCAAACACTATTTCACAATGAATAGCAGTTTTAAGTTATAAAATTAGTTTTGAAATCACATTAAATTACTTTGGTAGTTAACATATTTCAGAGTACATATATGCTATGCTAGATCCCCTTAGAAGATAGATTATTATGATTGCAAGATTAATACAGTACTGTAGTTAGAATATGATGCCATAATAAAAAGTCTTCCAGCAAGTGTAACCACTAGGGTGATATATATCATCATATAAACCTGTGGTAGTTTCTTGCAGCGTTCATATAGTGAAGTAGTAGTGTCTTCCAGCAAGTGTAACCACTAGGGTGATATATATCATATAAACCTGTGGTAGTTTCTTGCAGCGTTCATATAGTGAGGTAGTAGTGTCTTCCAGCAAGTGTAACCACTAGGGTGATATATATCATCATATAAACCTGTGGTAGTTTCTTGCAGCGTTCATATAGTGAAGTAGTAGTGTCTTCCAGCAAGTGTAACCACTAGGGTGATATATATCATATAAACCTGTGGTAGTTTCTTGCAGCGTTCATATAGTGAGGTAGTAGTGTCTTCCAGCAAGTGTAACCACTAGGGTGATATATATCATCATATAAACCTGTGGTAGTTTCTTGCAGCGTTCATATAGTGAAGTAGTAGTGTCTTCCAGCAAGTGTAACCACTAGGGTGATATATATCATCATATAAACCTGTGGTAGTTTCTTGCAGCGTTCACATAGTGAAGTAGTAGTGTCTTCCAGTGCTTCACTGGAGCTCGATTGCTAAATTATGAAGCTGTCAGGATTTTGAATTGTTCAGTTTCTGTACCAGGTTTAGAAATGTCTTCCATATGTAACTCAATAGTGCTCAGTGATCATGTCTAAATCAAGTACAGGTAATTTTATGTAAGTTTAGGTACTTGACTAGTCTGTTTAGATGACAATGATAAGTTGTACAAATGTTGGACAAGATGCAATAAAAGCTTGGTGCTGTTAGTGTATTTTAATCCTCTCTGTTGTGAACTGGTTATGGTACAGGAAATCTATTAATTATTGACCTAAAAAGATGTAAAGAGTGACTTGCTTCACAGTTATCATAATTTTGACGAGTGTGTTATCTCGTGTCTCCTATAGTGGCTGACAGTGAGGATGTCAGTAAGTGTTCTCAACAACAGTCTGCTGTAGCTTGGTGCACTTTATTGGCATGCTTAAGCGCACTAATAGGCCAGTCACTACATTATTTTGTTTGTTTTATTATTATTTTTTTTATATTTTTAGAATATATTTTGTATATCATATTCCACTAATTATCACAGCTGCTGCAGTGTATGTTACTCAAAATAAATAATGTTTGTTTATATATTTAGGTTTTACTTTTATTTGATTTTTCATTTTTTTATTATTATTTTATTGGATTTTATTTTATTTTACATTGTTTTTCTAGCTAAATTAAGCACAGGAAAACATGTTTAGGAAGAACAGCAGTGTATGTGAGTGGAGTCAAGTGGAAATATGAAGATGTGTATAAAGTGGGGACTATTAAGAGCTAATTACTCACGTTTTATATAATGTGACAACCCAAAAGCACAAGCTTGTCTTTGAGTTGGTAGAGTTGTGATGCAGAATCATTTGGACCAACTACTGCTATTGTTGTTAATTAATAATTAATTAGTTTGTTGGGGACAGGAAGCTTTGTGTATGTAAAAAAGTCTTCTTGTATGTAAAAAATTTCTATCATTAAATTATTGTAGATACAATACTGTGTTGGTCCACTATTATGAAATCATAATTTTCTCTCTCTCTTGTTTGGGTGTTGTGTAGCACTCTGGTGACAGTTTTGAGTATTTATTAATTATTTTAGCTTTTGTTTATAAGTTCTCAGTATGGTTTTTGAGACACCATATGTGAAGATGACCTGTACTGCAGCAGCACTGTGATGATAGCAGTTATAAGCCTTGCCATGATGCACGCTGCTCTATTACTTAGTCCCTACTATCACTGGATGATAATTTTCTCTATTCATTTATATACAGTATTTAATTATGTTCTTAGCTAATTATTAATATATTATTATTATTATAATAATGATGATGATGAGAGGTGGTGGTTATTTCCTGAAAGCATTTACACACACAAATTTTGCTTCATGCTTGAAGTAATTCCTCGCACCATTCACTATGAACTATTGCAAGAACTTGTGTGTTGCAGTTATAGCAACTTACTCTTTTAACCATTAATCCTACATTTAAGACCTTAATATAAGATTTCATGCATCTTGGGATATATGCATAACTATGAAATAGTTAGAATGCACAATGCTGTGAAACAGTTAGATAACTGTTTTCTTTCAACAGTTTATTTAGTATTTATATAGTATTTTGATAAATTAGGAATCATTGTGCTTTACAATATTTGAATAGCCACTCTTTCTTTCTGCTTGTTTATACACAGAGTAAATATAGTAATGTGGAGCTAGCTTTTGTAAGCTTACCAACCAATGTTATTATTTAAAATTTTAAGTCCTTGCCGTTGTAATTTATCATGCAGCTAAATTTACTAAGGCAAAAGGAGATGTGTTGGGCAGTCATATCACAAGTTACTCTTCTTACCAATGGCTGGCACTGAGGGCACATAATCTATTGTACAATTCAGTACTTGAGTAACTTTTATTTGTCAAATTCTTCTTAAATTATTACAGTATTAACTTGTTTGCTTTCATATCCAGTATGCATTTTTTGTTAGTTCATTTATCTTTAAATAATCTTTATGTAGATTATGGGTTAATGAAACTTGTGATGGAAGGCATGCAGGAGTGTTGTGTACACCAGCACCCTGCTGGCATGATACCATTGTGATGACACTGGTGGTGTAAGGCATGCAGGAGTGCTGTGTACACCAGCACCCTGCTGGCATGATACCATTGTGATGACACTGGTGGTTTAAGGCATGCAGGAGTGCCGTGTATGCCAGCACCCTGCTGGCATGATACCATTGTGATGACACTGGTGGTGTAAGGCATGCAGGAGTGCCGTGTATGCCAGCACCCTGCTGGCATGATACCATTGTGATGACACTGGTGGTGTAAGGCATGCAGGAGTGCTGTGTACACCAGCACCCTGCTGGCATGATACCATTGTGATGACACTGGTGGTGTAAGGCATGCAGGAGTGCCGTGTATGCCAGCACCCTGCTGGCATGATACCATTGTGATGACACTGGTGGTGTAAGGCATGCAGGAGTGCCGTGTATGCCAGCACCCTGCTGGCATGATACCATTGTGATGACACTGGTGGTGTAAGGCATGCAGGAGTGCTGTGTACACCAGCACCCTGCTGGCATGATACCATTGTGATGACACTGGTGGTGTAAGGCATGCAGGAGTGCCGTGTATGCCAGCACCCTGCTGGCATGATACCATTGTGATGACACTGGTGGTGTAAGGCATGCAGGAGTGCCGTGTATGCCAGCACCCTGCTGGCATGATACCATTGTGATGACACTGGTGGTGTAAGGCATGCAGGAGTGCCGTGTATGCCAGCACCCTGCTGGCATGATATCATTGTGTCTGCTTTTGCTTACTTTTGTTTTGTAGAAGTGAAGTGTTCTTAGTAATTGCCTGGACAGATGCACATAGTATTTATATCAATATTGACCTAGTTATGGGACTGAAGTTAACAGGCTTGGTGAAAGTTGATTCTGTAAATAATACTTCATTGTTGTTAGTGTTTTGAAAACAACTGCTTTCATTGACTCCCTCTAAAAATAACTATTAAAATACCTTTATGTAATACTCATTACATTCAGTAATTAACTGCTCCACAATGCATGTATTTCAGCAGCAGAAATAGAAGAAGATGGCAAATGTTTCACTGGTCGTAGAACACGTTTACCTGCTCCAAAGCCTCTTACAGAAGATTTCTCGGTGTGGAACTTCCTTTATAAAAATATTGGAAAGGATTTATCCAAAGTGTGCATGCCCGTCACTTTAAATGAACCTCTCAATATGCTGCAGGTAAGTATATGATGAGAAAGCATTTCTGATTATCTGATAAGTACTAAAAATGGCAAAGAATGAATAAAGATGTCATTTGAGATGATCAAACTAATCTGCATGTTGGAATAAAATTGGTTTGGTTTCCAGCGGATGTGTGAAGAATTGGAATACAGCGAGCTACTAGATAAGGCTGCAGGCTTGGAGGATGCTGGAGACCGCATGGTGCAAGTGGCAACATTTGCCGTCTCTGCCTATGCCTCGTCAATATATCGTGCTGCTCACAAACCTTTCAATCCTCTTCTTGGAGAGACTTATGAATGCATCAGAGAAGATAAAGGCTTCAGATTTGTGGCTGAACAGGTATTAATACTCTTTATGGCAGTGTAATCTTTCTGGGGGTAGCGTCGTCGGCTCCCTGGAGCTATCAAGGCTGACATGCTAACTTTAGACTTTGGCATCAGTCATGTACAGTATATGGAGTTCTGTGGGCCTACCGGGGACAACGAGCCAGAACGTTCTGGCCCCCTCAGAGAGGCATGGGGAACAATGGCCTATAGAAGCCCCCATGTGGTTGGAAGAATCTGTGTCTGCCATCGACCGGTTCAGGCACCCAGAAAGGCACGGAACCGACGGACCTGTTCCTTCAGGTTCGTCGGTTCCGTCCTTCCTGTGGATAATTTTACCCACTTTCTCAACATTCGGGATCCTGCATGACCATTGGTCACGTATGCCAATTGGCCCATATGAGCCTCCATGATTTTGTGCTTGATTATCAAGGATCTTGAAGGTTCAAGAAGAACTTCGATAATTAAAAAATTATTGGAACATATGTTGATTTCCGGTGAGGCTTACCTCCAGTCCTTTATAGGACTCGTTGGCACTCTTCTATACTACTTACCATCTTTCAATACTATATCTAATTATTTTATGATCACATCTTATCTCAGTGATTTGTCTCAGCCTTAATAATAATAGTTAAATACACCTTGTAGGCACCCTCCCCGAAAGAAAGGAGGAGCCAGATCGGACCTCATGCGTCCTGAGCATGGCCTGAAGGTGATCATTTTTTTATGGATGGTGTAAACATGTGTTGGTGTTCCGCTGCCTTTCTCACGGGTAATATGCTGCACTAACTAATCTTCTCTCTAGTCGTACTCCCCTAGGTACTGGGGGAGCTCTGGTTTTTAAATAGGGAAAATTCCAAGTTCTGTTCTCGGAATGTGGGTGTAGGGTAGCTCTGAGTGATGCCGCCTCCACCTCTACATTACACCTAATCTTCTCCTACTGCACACGCATCTCAGGACATAATCCACTAGAGATGTTCCTATAATATTACATGGCTAAGCTGTGTCGTGACACTATAGTGCCTACGCTCTACAGGGGAGATTATTCAGTCTGGCAACGCTGTCAGCCAGGCACTGGTTCTCGATTTTTGGGTGAGTGTTGGGTATTGTTTGTAGTGTGTTGTTTCGCATTACTCTGATGCACTGTACATTATCATCATTAATCACAATGGCATCATTAAAATTACCCAGTATATTGAGGTTGTATTGCCTACTAATATATTTTTCAGCATTTTGTACATGAAACAGGTGAAAACATAAAATTACTCTTATTATACTGTAGGTAAGCCATCATCCTCCAGTGAGTGCTTGCTATGCTAAGAGCCACAACTTCACATTTTGGCAAGACATTCGAATTAAAACCAAGTTCTGGGGCAGATCTCTAGAATTCCAGCCAACTGGTAAGTTTTAATGTGTCTTCTTGTTTTGTTTATGATACACACCTTATTAAAAAAAAAAAATTATATGTACAGGTATCGTATGTCTGTCTCTTAACTCTACTCCTCTACCTTCATTGGCCACAAACAATTCCATTGGGGGGGATTTACTGTTCAGGTATTAACTGAAAGCCACTTGTGTGATTTGTGCAACTGTTCCAAGTCTAAAGAATTTGAGAGTGTAGTCACCTAGTTCACTTAGTGTACTTGCAGAGGATGAGCAACAGCTCTTGGGTCCAGAATCCTTAATTAACTAGAGATAACCCTTGTGACCTTGGCCACAAATCTTTTTCTCTCATGTTTAAAATGCATATAATTTAGCTCAAAAGTTTTACCTGTTAAAATTTAATATGTTGTTTGATGGCAAATTATTTATGTCTGAGCTGTAATTCAACTCCCATAGATTATGTATCCTCTAAGGCAGTGCAACCTAGAGCACCTCAATGAGTGCTTGTTTGCCCCTATCCTTTCCTGGGATGTTGGCATCATGCAGCTCCATGTGCCGGTTCTCTCCATTTCGGCTGCGCAGGTTACTGAGGACTTGCGCACCCGTGGCCTCTTGGCTTCTGCCTTTCGTTTCTTTTCCCTCCTGGAGCTGTCTTCGGATTGGCTTGAGGAGGATGTGGGAATGCTTGGGGCCGTTCCTGGGTCCGGTGCCTTGGGCTCGGTGGCTCGCTCGTCGGCTGCCTTGTTGAAGCTCTTTGAGCCGATCCTGCGGGATGCGGTTTCGTTATTTTATACTTCCCGGCTCGTGTGTCAGCAGGTGGTGCTTGCTTCCTCTCCGGAATCAGGCTGGGCCCCTGGCTCTTAGGATATCCTCTCCTTTTTGTCCTTTGATTTTTGCAGATTCTGCTGTGGCGCAGTATTTGCAGGCTGCTTCGGCTAGTTGTTGTCCTATGTCTGGCTTCTTGGTTCTCCGGGGCGGGGGGTCCTTGAATTTGAAACTTGTTCGAAAGAATGCAATAAAATGTATGCTCTAAATTACAATACATAAAATATATTTGGATTGCTGTAAATGATTTAAATTAACAATAATAAATGACAATACAATAACAGTAAATGCTAATATATAAAATAAGTTTGTTAGAATAAATGACATTGATTTGGGGCATCCAAAACATAAATTTAACTCATTTCTGGAAAATAAAATTAACATAATGTGATCCTTGTGCTTGGTGGCTGTTTGCTGCGAACATTAGTTGCTCGATTAGTGAATATTGGAGTAAACTGCCTTACATGCACACCATAATCTTCAAATTGCCCTCTATGGGGCATACACCCAACATTAGGGAATCAGTGCTCTAAGGTTTGTGACCTGTAGTTATGTAATACAGGATACAAGCCTCAGCCAGATCTTCTCACAGAGTGAAAATGACATGTAAAAGATATAGGAAAAATGATGTTGGATGACCTAAAGTTTAGTAGGCATAACAGGTAACAAAATAGATTGTTCGCAGCCAGTACCTGAACAAAAAATAAAAAAAAATATTAAAAAATAAAGAAAAAATATCCACTGCTCTCTCAAGTATTTAAAAGCCCGGCAGAAAAGAGCTGGGTTTTACATACAAAGGAGAGAACAAACATGGTCCCCTGAAGTGTGTGTAAAACTAAAAAGCTCATTGTTAAATTGTAGGCCTGGAGCAATGTCTAGGCACAAGCAAAGCTTTGGGGTAATGGAAGTTATGCCAAATACCTAAAAAAAAAAAAAAAAAAAGATACTTCTGGGGTGTTGGTCTCAGATAAACTCGGTGCCAGAAGAGAACCCTGAATCATAGCCAGATTATCAAGCAATAACCAACAGCATGAAACTGATTATACATGCTATGAGGTTCTTCACCAAACAATGGTAAATACTAATCACCACCACCATCTAGTGGTGATGGTAGTGGTAAGTAGCTCTCTTATTGATCATTTGAGAATTCTGAGTAGGTTTCCTTGTGTTGCTAAGTAGCATTTGCAGGGGGGTGTCGAGGATATTTCTCACTGTTTTGAGTCATAATGGTGAGCCATCTCATCTCTACCATCAAGGTGGTGTCACAAGAGCTTGTCATAGTGGCATTATGGTGGTACCAAGTGGCTCCTGGCTCAAAGGAACATCCATAGGGATGAGCCATAAGCTCATTATCCATGAGTTCAAATAACCAGAATTGACTGCAATATAATGCCTCTTTCTGGTGGGTACTTGATGGCTTCTTGGAATAGTCACTTTAGGAACTCTCCCAGAAAGCAGTATTCATTATGCTCAATATATTTCAAATAATTTTTAAAATTTCTCCATTGCTAGATATATTGGGATAAAAGACCAGAGAGAGACAACTTTTTGAAGATCCTAAAGCAATCAAAGTACTACATATCTATCATTTACACCTGTATTACTGTGCACTATGCAGTTTGTTTTAAGTAACTAAATTTGTTATATTTTTTCTTATAGGTAAGGTTCACTTGATCTTAGGCGAATGGATAGATTCTGGGACAGAGGACCATTACGAGTGGAACAAGGTGACAACTTGTGTGCACAATTTATTTGGCGGTGGACAGAGATGGGTTGATCAGTATGGGGAGATGATCATCAAGAACACTACAAATGGCCTCGTGTGCAAGCTTTCATTTGTAAGGGTAAGTCACAATGCAACAGTGTTTTCATGTGTCCTTGTGAGCTTTACTGTTTGATCCCCAAGTTTCTAATTACCATTAGCCTTAGGGTGGCCTATACAATGACCAGCTCTACTGGCTCTTATTTCTCTTCAGCAGCAAATGAAGAATTGCAGTGCCATATTTTGTGATAATTTTTTAATGTTTGTCATACATTCATTGAATGATTTTTCAAATGGGTTTGTAGAAGAGAGTATGTGATTTTGTGAATGTAAATATAATTTATATTCAGTTATTGATGGATCATTGGTGGACCAAAGAACATGCATCCTATCTGCTGGCAAATATGGTATGTAGAATAAATTATGAGAGGCAGAAGTGGAAGTTGATTAATGGTTAAGAGGAAGCTGGAAGCTGTGTTCTTATCCTTGTGGGCACAAGTGAGTACACACACATACATAGTAAGTAAATTCATGTGTATACATAGACCTTCCTCCCTTGGGGAAAACATGATCATGTCCTGTTTGTCATTAAATATGCTTTAAGATATAATCTAAAAGAAAATGGGGACATTAAAACAGTTTTTAAACTCGTTTTCAAGAGAACACTGGGGAATTTCTAAAAAAAATTTAATGAGTGTAATTGGACAGACTTGTTGCTAGGCAGGGAAGTAAATGAGATGTATGCCAAATTTTGCAAAATATACGATGAAGGCACAGAAACATTCATACCAAAACAGAGATGCAGGACTAGGAAACAGGATTGGTTCAACAGAAATTGCGAGAAGACCAGAGACCAAAAGACACAAAAATGGAATCAATATAGGAAGAGGCCAAACCCCCAAACATACCAGCGATACAAAGATGCGGGAAACAACTACACGGCAGTGAGGAGAGGGGCAGAAAGAAATTTTGAAAAAGGGATAACGGACAAATGTAAAACAGAACCAGGCCTATTCTACAAATTCATAAGCAACAAATTGCAGGTAATGGATAATATTCAGAGGTTGAAAGGGGAAAAACAGATTCACCAAAAATGAAAAGGAATTGTGTGAAACATAAAACGAAAAGTTCCAAAGTGTGTTTGTACAAAATGAAATCTTCAGGGAACCAGACACAATAAGAATTCCAGTTAACAACATAGAGCACATAGAGGGTGTCTAGAGAAGTGAAAAAATGCTCAAGGAGCTTAGTAAGAGCAAAGCAGTTGGCCCAGATGGAGTTTCACCATGGGTTCTGAGAGAATGTGCACCTGAGCTCAGCATTCCACTTCACCTGATTTTTCAGGCATCCCTGTGTTCAGGAGTCGTAGCAAATGTGTGGAACAAAGCTAACATAGTTCCAATCTACAAAAGTGCTGGCAGGGAAGACCCCCCTCACTTATAGACCTGTATCGTTGACAGGGGTAATAGTCAAAATATTGGAAAAAATAATTAAAACTAAATGGGTAGAACACCTGGAGAAAAACTATATAATATCAGACACAGTATTGTTTTCGATTTGGAATATCCTGCATAACAAATTTACTCAGTTTCTATGATCGAGCCACAGAGATTTTGCAGGAAAGATATGGTTGGGTTGACTGCATATATCTGGACCTAAAAAAGGCTTTCGACAGAGTTCCACATAAGAGGTTGTTCTGAAAACTGGAACATATTGGAGGGGTGACAGGTAAGCTTCTAACATGGATGGAAAATTTTCTAACCGACAGAGAAATGAGGGCAATAATCAGAGGCAATGTATCGGACTGGAGAAATGTCACAAGTGGAGTACCACAGGGTTCAGTTCTTGCACCGGTAATGTTCATTGTGTACATAAACCATCTACCAGATGGAATACAGAATTATATGAACACGTTTGCTGATGATGCTAAGATAATAGGCAAGATAAGTAACAGATGATTGTCATGCCCTTCAAGAAGACCTGGACAAAATAAGTATATGGAGCACCACTTGGCAAATGGAATTTAATGTACAGTAAATAACTGCCATGTTATGGAATGTGAAATAGAACATAGACCCCCACACAACCTATAAATTATGTGAGAAATCTTTAAAGTCTGATAAATAAAGAGATCGAGGGGTGGTTCTAGATAGAAAACTGTCACCTGTGGATCACATAAAGACCATTATATGGGGAGCCTATGCTGCACTTTCTAACTTCAGACTTGTTTTTAAATGCATAGATGGCGAAATAATGAAGAAATTGTTCACGACATTTGTTAGACCAAAACTGGAATATGCAGCGGTTGTATGGTGCCCATATCTTAAGAAGCACATCAACAAACTGGAAAGGGTGCAAAGACATGCCACTAATTGGCTCCCAGAACTGAAGGACAAGAGCTACAAGGAGAGGTTAGAGGCATTAAATCTGCAAAACTAGAAGCTAGAAGAAAAAAGAGGCGATATGATCACTACGTACAAAATTGCAACAGGAATCGATAAAATTGATAGGGCAGAATTCCTGAGACCTGGAACTTTAAGAACAAGAGGTCATTGATTGAAACTAACTAAACAAAGATGCCGAAGAAATATAAGAAAATTTACTTTCGCAAACAGAGTGGTAGACGTGTGGTGAGAAGGTGGTGGAGGCGAAAACTGTCAGTAGTTTCAAAGCGTTATATGACAGAGTGCTGGGAAGATGGGACACCACGAGTGTAGCTCTCATCCTGTAACTATACTTAGGTAATTACACAGCTTGATAAAGCCATACATGTAGGCACAGTTCACTTTTTCTGTTTTTCTCTATTTATGTCTTTGTTATCAGAAGTGAACTAGGAAGCAAGATATACTGTATTATGTCACAAATATTGGTATCATTGAAATTAATTTTCCAAAATATACCATAACAGGCTAGTTCATGGTCAGCAAAACGTCATGAAGTCTTTGGCACTGTGACGGATGCTGATGGCCAGGTGATACACAACTTGTTTGGTAAATGGACCGAGGCTCTTTACTGTGGACACGCCCCCTCGGCACGAGTGGTGTGGCGCCCAGGGAGCATGCCAGAAGACTTTCATCTCTATTATGGCTTTACACGATTTGCAATGGAGCTGAATGAATTGGATGACGACCAGTCTAAATATCTGCCTCCAACAGACACTCGGTTCAGACCCGATCAAAGGTTGGCTAGTAATTTATTTCAGTTCTTTTTTGTCTTGGTAAATACTGTATTTTTTGCATTTTATAATAACATGCCAACCTACAGTCTGAACACCTTAGTACTGATAAAAGTAAAAAAGGGCATTAAGGTCAGATTAGAGGTTAATCTCTTCTGCCCTTACAAAATATTTGTTATGTCGCTATTTTTTGTTTAGCATAATAATGCAAATAACCGCATATTATTGTTTAGGCTAAATGATTGTTTTGGTAGATTTTGGAGAATTTAAGTCTTCTACAGGGAAGTTAGGCCGAGATGCCTAAATTCCATCAGCTGACTCCATCTCCTTTATATTTTGACATGTTTGATACCTGGGTGGCTAAGTTCCAGGCTTTGGTGATTTGGAGTAACATGCTGTTAGGATGCTCAGTATTATTATAATATAAAGAAATGTGCACACATAACAAAAGCCAAGCCGAACAATGAAGCAGAGCCTCGCCATCAAGAGGTGGGGAGGTGTGTGCGATGCAGAAAGGGTAGTCAGGCCTTATCATATAGATAGCTGTTGAACTGTGGGTTAGTGTCATATCTAGCTTATTGTATATGTAATAAACATGATTACATAATTTCAGCTAAGGTCATTATGATACATAACTATTGTTCAAAGTTTAATGCAATTGTCTGATAAATCCTGTGCTATGATTTAGGATTAACACTTACTTCAATATTCAAAATATTTGTAACTTTATCTTTGTGCTAAAATGTACTGTATATGGGAGTTTTGAAATTACATGAAATACTGTATGGTAAAATGTAATAAGTACATCTTTTGACAAATTAATTTTATTAATAATTTGTGTCATTTTAGGTTATTAGAGGAGGGTAATATGTCTGCGGCTGAAGTGATGAAAACACAGCTAGAGCAACAACAGCGTGAGAGACGCAAGTCTCGAGAAGAGACTGGAGTAGAGCACTTGCCCATGTGGTTTAGGTGAGTAACAACTCACAAGTCGAGCCTGGCCTCGGGCCGGGCTTGGAGAGTAGAAGAACTCCCAGAACCCCATCAAGCAGGTTAACTATCTTAACTAATAAAAATGGGAACCCTTTTTTCCTGTGAGAGTTCTCTAGCATGGCTACACTAGCACAATCCTCTCATTCTTCATCTTGATCTTCTCAATTTTGTGTATCTGATTATCTTTCCATATTTCTTATTTCCCACTAATGTGAGCTACTTGAGATCAGTTTTATTGTTTTAACACTGCTTTTGTGAGCCAATGATGGCTGGGTGTTATATAACTATGTTATATTCAGTTGGCATATCTGCATGAAAAACTGACAGTATTATACCTTCTTCTTCAAGAACCTCTTTAACACCAGAAGGTATTTGACAACTTTTTGGGAGAATATTCTACTTATGATGGAGCCTTGAAGGCTGATGAGTTCCCAGGTGGAACAAATCAACAGGAATGTAGATATAATTGTAAATGCTACAGTAACTTGTAACAGCAGTAATTTTATACTTAATTTATTTACTTTGTAAGTTTGGGTAATTGTGTGTTTTTTGGTTTACTTTTCCATAGACATTCTGAAATGAATTTTGTTAAGTAGTAATTGTATTAATTGCTGTATTTTCTGTTGTGAACATAGTAGATGTGGATAGAAAAGGGTGTTTGCACTTACTGTGGTTGCTGTAGGCTAGATATATTCTTGCCTAGTACTGTTAGCTGGGAATGAACTTTAAATTTTGGGTCCCAATTTTTAATTGGTCATTATTTAGTGTATCTCTGTTATCTGACAACTCTCTTGTGTTTGCCTGTCAGTTACTACAGTGGAGTGAGCGCTAGCTTTTATATCCTACAATCACGTTCTTTATCATATCTGCTCTCTGAAACTGTGGGGTGAAGGTGGCTTCTATAAGGTTTTTTTCTTGGTACAATTAAACTATTGACTACCTATTCTGGTGAATTCATCAACTTGTTTGTATTTTCTCTAGATGTAATTTAAAGAGACTTGCTGTTGCCACCATTTCAATGTGTGAATATTTTGTTATCACATCACCTCCACTCTCTCTCCTCTTAGGTTGTGAGCTTGAGTTCACCTTACATGTCCTCATTACTTAGTCCTCTTAATTCAAGTATCAGTTTTGTTGCAAAGAACTCCTGTATTTTGTAAAGTTGTGCTTTGTGCTTAATGAGACAAGGCTACCATACGGGGATTCTAATATGCCATTCTTATGTGTGCCAGCTTTCCACATGCTGTTAATGTCCTGTTTGTGCGCCTTTGGTGTTAGTGCTGAAATTAACAATAACAAATTGTTGTGTTTTTTAGGTTCCTGAGGATGCTATTTTCTTGTAATGTAGATTCCTGTTGGTTTCCTATCTCCTTTCACCATTAACCATCTTCACTGTCGTGAATTGGTTGGAATTGAATTCTGCAATTTGTCTGACCACTCCTGAAGTTCATCAAGGTCTTTCTACAAGACCAAAGTCCTTAAGTTTTACTACCGTATTTGTCACATTAATTTTATCTGCAAAGTTGGTCTCCAGTGTTGTTGCAGGCTAACATTAACAATTGGAAAATGATGGTGGCTTAGATTTCTAACTAGCATCTCTCACTCTTGAGCATCTCTCTCCCAAGAGATGTAGATTTTTACCAAGGCCAGAAAACAAATTCCAAGAATTTGACTCTTGGCTGCTTCATGGAGTAGTCAAGTTGACATGATTACAAGTGTATCCTTTGGAGGCTTGACTTTCGGAAGCTCACCACTCTAGTAGCTATCTTATCAGCGATGTCTTATTCTGGCATCAAAGCTTGGGGTTTCTGACGGTCAAATCATACCTTGGTCACCCACTTCTGTTCCAGGATTCCCTGACTACCATCAGGGACTAGATTCATGAAGCAGTTACGCAAGTACTTACGAACGTGTACATCTTTTTTCAATCTTTGACGCCTTTGTTTACATACATTAAACAGTTTACAAGCATGAAAACTTGCCAATCAACTGTTGTTGTTATAAATTGCCTCCTGGTACTTCAGAGCTCATTAACTTTAATATTTGTAAACAAAGCCGTCAAAGATTGAGAAAAGATGTACAGGTTCGTAAGTGCTTGCGTAACTGCTTCGTGAATCTGGCCCCAGGTTATCACACTTGGACTGTGTTCTCCAGATAATGTGCTCCACTATTGTCAGTGTACTGCATGGGTGCCCTTCAGCAGCTCTCTGGGCACTCTGGGAACTTCCTGCTCAATTATTTTGGGAACCCTATTCTGCATCTCAGGCATTTCCCTCATTATTATTGGTTTTGTGTGTGTTATTTCACTTACATCTTAGAAAGCAGGCTTGGAATGAATTTGACAAGATCCTTCTTATGCACGGCAGTCAAATGTTTCCATTACCCTCCAATGGGTCCCTGATTCTCTTGTGGTGTGTTTTGTTTTTTGTTAGTTAGAAAAAAAATGTGATAGAGTTTGAAGCAGAGAGACCTGGTGTTGCTAGAGTTGCTGCAATTTAGTAGCAGGTAAACATAGGGGCCAGTTGGGAAACTGATAGTTTGTGAGTCTCATTTGATAGCCCTTGTGATGTCAAATAGTGTTTGCAAAGCTTTTGAGCATTTGGGTGAACTTCCTGAAGTCACTCTTGGATTGATTGAGGTTTTCTCCAGTGCCTCCCCTAGCACCATCAAGGAGAGATGTTTAAAAGATTCCACTTGTGCTGGTGCAGTGCCACCCTGCCTCAACACTTGTAATAATATCAAATGAGACCTTCATTGACTTTTTGACATCCCAGTATCTAAGCTAGAATGGATATTTTAATATTCACCCAAAGCCTGATTATGATTCACAGTATTTTGTTTTGCTTTTTTCAGACGTGAAATGGATCATAGCAAAGAAGAATCTTGGGTTTTTACCGGTGAGTACTGGAACAAGCGCAAAGAACCGGGATTTGTTAACATGACTTTTGAGAAACTGTGGTAATAAAGACATTACTACACATAGGACTTAAGGTATATGAAGAATTTGTGTATATTTTCTTGACTTACCACTGGAGCTGGAACTGACTAAGGACTGATTGTGTACTTGCATCATGCTAGTAATAATATGCTTGATGAATGAGACACGGTTCTCAAATTAATTTTAAGTTCAATGTAAGATGCCTTATTTATTGACAGCAACCATATTGAGTTCAAACTTTATTTGTGGTATGTTTACAGAGAAGAACTTGGCTAAAAACTCAGAGAACAGTTTCCTTGTTTACTTGATCCCAAAACTTTGTCTTTGAAATGGTATTGAATCCAGATTTATTACTAGATGGATTAGCAGTCAAGCCTGTGTAGCTGAAATTTGATCTATTTGTTAATTATAAGCAGGTTTATAATTTCCTGAAGGATCTCCATGGATTTTCCTCATAATCTTAATAAAAGTCGTGTATTGCATATCTAATTTTAAATTTTGTCCACATAAGTGCTGGATAACATCCCGCTTAAGAGAACTCAAGAGTGTAATGATATCTGTATAAACCTTTAGATATTTGGTTAAATATAATAGATTTTATCATTTATGCAGGTTATTTATGGATGTATTTTTTTGAGTTATTGTATTCAGTTGCATCTACGAAGTAAAATCCAATATCCTGTGAACGAGGATCATAGCAAACGCATAACATTCTTGGCACCAGTGCCGGAGGGCACATTCTTGGCACCAGTGCCGGAGGGCACATTCTTGGCACCAGTGCCGGAGGGCACATTCTTGGCACCGGTGCCGGAGGGCACATTCTTGGCACCGGTGCCGGAGGGAACATTCTTGGCACCGGTGCCGGAGGGAACATTCTTGGCACCGGTGCCGAAGGGCATATAATTGGCACCGGTGCCGGAGGGAACATTCTTGGCACCGGTGCCGGAGGGAACATTCTTGGCACCGGTGCTGGAGGGAACATTCTTGGCACTGGTGCCGGAGGGAACATTCTTGGCACCGGTGCCGCAGGGAACATTCTTGGCACCGGTGCCGCAGGGAAGTTTCTTGGCACCGGTGCTGCAGGGAACATTCCTGGCATCTTCGAGGTAAAGCACCTAAATTATTGGGATCGCCTCAAAACTCTCCAAACGTACTCACTAGAAAGGAGACGAGAGCGATACCAAATAATATACACATGGAAAATACTGGAGGGACAAGTCCCAAATCTGCACAATAAAATAACAACGTACTGGAGTGACCAATATGGAAGAAAATGCAGAATAGAACCAGTGAGGAGCAGAGGTGCCATAGGCACAATCAGAGAATGCTGTATAAACATCAGAGGTCCGCGGTTGTTCAGCGTCCTCCCAGCTAGCATCAGAAATATTGCCGGAACAACCGTGGACATCTTCAAGAGAAAACTAGATTGTTTTCTTCAAGGAGTGCTGGACCAACCAGGCTGTGATGGGTATGTGGGCCTGCAGGCCGCTCCAAGATTTTGGTCCACCTCAGTCTGGTGGACCAAACTCTCACAAGTCAATCCTGGCCTCGGGGAGTAGAAGAACTCCCAGAACCCCATCAAGCAGGCACCGGTGCCGGAGGGAACATTCTTGGCACCGGTGCCGCAGAGAACACTCTTGGCACCGGTGCCGCAGGGATCTTTTACAGTGGTCTCTGCAGTGTCTTAAGATTTAGGGTGGGCATTGGAGATAAGGTTAATCCAGTCCCGAAGTACTAAGAGTCATTCAGTAATAGCTCAAAGCCTTGTGATTAATACCCCCAAAAATATCTCCACTTAATAGGCCAATACTTGCCACAAAAACCCTAACAATACTGATTATTCAGCCCATTCTCTTGATTTGCTACTTAGGTAAAACAATTTATTTTTTATTAACCAGATTTCTACAAACCCTCACAAACCACCTAATCTATCAAGGCTTATACAGTACATAGAAAATATTATTACGGTTACCTTGCGATGATTATGGGGTTTAGCGTCCCCACGGCCCGGTCCTCGACCAGGCTTCCTGGTTGTTGGACTGGTCAACCAGGCTGTTGGACGTGGCTGCTTGCAGCCTGACATACTAATCACAGCCTGGATGATCTGGTGTCCTTTGGATGTGTTCATCAAGTTCTCTCTTGAACACTGTGAGGGGACGGCCAGTTATACCCCTTATGTGTAGTGGAAGTGTGCTGAACAGTCCCGGGCCTCTGATGTTGATAGTTCTCTCTGAGTACTTATTGCACCTCTGCTTTTCAACGAGGGTATTCTGCACATCCTGCCATGCCTTCTGGTCTCGCTGTGTTTTGTACATGGTTTTCGTTTTTATATTTTCATTTTTTCCGTAGCTCAGGCGCTGGAACTTATCTTCATTAAATACCATATTATTTTCTGTAGCCCATTGAAAGACCTGATTTACATCTGATTGGAGGTTTGCTGTGTCCTCTGTTGTCTACTCTCATAAAAATCCTAGTGTCATCTGCAGAGGATGATACAGTACTATATTGACCAGACCACACACTAGAAATTGAAGGGACGACGACGTTTCGGTCCGTCCTGGACCATTCTCAAGTCGATTGTGATGAGGAGGTTGGGACAGGCAATAAATAGGCAAGAGAGAGCTGAGGAGGAAAGTCAGGTGTAGGGGATAGTAGTAATGAGAACTGCAGCAGGCCTATTGGCCCATACGAGGCAGCTTCTATTATAACCACCGAAGGAGATAGTAATAGGAAAAAAAGAAGAGGATAGCAAGGGAGCGTAGGAGAAGACAATGAACAGAAAAAGGGAGAAGAGAGAAAGAAAAGGAAAGAGAAAGAAAGAAATGGAAGGGGGAAAGCTTATGTTAAGTCACGTTTGTTAGAAAGATTAGAGCATTTGAGTATATACTGTGAAAGGGAAGAGTCCACAGCAACAAAGCCAGGACTCAAGTTCATGTTGGGTACATTGTTTATAAGAGCCGATTCTACAAGACGGCGTCTGTGTAGAGTAGAGGCAGGAAAGATTATTTTGGAGGAAGACCAATCAATGGGATGATTAGAATCCCTCACATGGCAGAAGAGAGCATTGTTAGTGTCTGCAGACTTAACACTTCTCTTGTGTTCTTTAAGTCTGTCATTCAGTGTACGGCCAGTTTCGCCAAAGTATTGGAGAGGAATAGTGTGTGTGTTTCTAGTGTGTGGTCTGGCCAACATACTTCAGCCACGTTATTGTGACTCATCGCCTGCATACAGTACTATAGATTGTGCCCTTTTTGTATGACCATGTTGGCTGTGGTTCATAGTGTTCTTTTCCCCCTGACTGTTTCATTTAGGATTGAACCTGGTGTCAAGGACCTTCACCAATCTGACCAGGTTGGTGCTCTAGAAAGCTTGTCCTGTGACATCCAAATTTTTATGTGCCTCGCAAATGCCCTTTTGTGCCTCGCAAATGATATGCCTCGTGAATGTCCTTCAGCTGGCCACTCATCTTAGTTTCATTACTCAATCATGCATGCACAGTTTCTTTCCCTGGGTTGTTTAGTTTCAACACCCAAATTGGTTTCTCCAGGTGCATTAATAATAATCAGGCATTTCCTGTACTGGGGTTTTTGGTATAGTGGAGATCTCTGCTTCGTTTTTTCAAGCTCTTCACTGACACTTCCAACCTTGGTTGGGGGTTGATACCAAATTTTCACTAGTTGGAGCTGGATTATTTGTTGATGTCTCGTATTAGCACATGTGAGTGTGTTGCACACACTCATATCATAGTGTTGGAGTTGGTAGTTCTCTCTTCATTAGATAATTAAACATGTGTGGCTTGGCCAAGTCCCTTCCCTTCTGGCAGTGGATGTTAGCTTGTCTACAATAATCTCCCTTAACATATTTAATAACCTTTCAGGGACTTTTGAAAACTTGCTGCTGTACTGGTGCTGAGAATGTGTCTGCCTAACTGCCCTGTTCCTTGTCTAGGGTCTTACTTATGGTGGCAACTGAATGGTATTACTCAGAAAAGTGCCTTTCATTTTCTAAACTGCATATATTGTTTACAACTTGATAGTTCTTGATGCATGAGTGGAAACGTTTATGGGTTGTAAAAAAAATCTGTATATAAATTGTTTAAATTGGATATGTAGTCAAAGATAAAAATATTTATACAACGGACAGTGGAAGAAAGGATTGATGGAGCTAGTTAGTGTTGCATTTGTGTAACTTGTACATAAATTTATTTGTCTATTTCCTATCTATGTTCTTTTAGTTTTTTTTTTTAGAGTTCTCTTCTTGGCTATGTAGTGTTTAAAAAGAAATCTTAATTGAAAAGAGAACAGACTAATGTTAAGTACCTCTCATGTTCCATTTGTAAATTTTATCTATTCATGAGTAATTAAGGAGAAAAGGGTTGAGCAAGACAGGACACTTGAAGTATTGGCATCCATTCATTGGGCTCTTCTCACATGGTAAAACAGTGAATGGATCTTTTCTGTAATAGCAAGCTACCAAAACTGTGGCTGGAACACTTGGTCTCACCTGTTTTACCTGGGTCATCTTCTAGCACACACTTATGCTTCACTCTCCTTTCTTATTTTGTAAAATGTTTTAAAACATAAATTTATATCTGTACCAGACAGTTATATAATTAGTAGTAAATACAAATGCAGGACTCTCAATCAATATGCAAAAGAAAGACAGCCAGTAATGGATGTTGCCTGTATTGTTGTATAGTATTCTATCCGTCCAGAGGATGTACTTAACAACACAGTATTTATTGATGATGAGTGCACTCTTCTACCCAAACCTTCTAACCTATGCATTGATCTTATACATGTGAACATTCACAACCGTGACTGCATCTTATGAGCTGCCTTAACCCTTAGACAGCGCAATACATACAGTATATAGACGATGGGAGTAACTTTACCAAAACCGGGCAATACATATATAGACGATTGAGGCTCTAGCGCACGATTTTAAATGCCCAGCAAGGGATAAGGGCAGCTATAGGCCAGCCACGACCGATAGTTAAGAGACGCCACCTAGAAAAAAAATCGTGGGCAACATTCTCGGGTGTGAGAGCCTCAGTACTGAGTGAGCCACCAAGGCTGGCGCACGCAGCATGATCTCACAGCACCACTGTTCAGCTCGTGACCACAGCATCGCCTAAAAATGTCTAAATATATACATTGTGTACATGCTATTATTTAGTAATAGTATTACAGAAGACCCCTGACTGTGATAAAACTGACCAGGATTCTGATAATAGGATTGTGGTGATATTTAGCGCTGTGCTCCATGGTAGGAGTGATGCTGAGGGAGGGAGGGAGGTGGTGTCATCTTCTGACTGTGTGTGGCCACCTTTTATTGACTGGACTTACCATACCAGCTTAGTGGTTTGCTATGGTGAACACAAATGTAGATACTTATATATAACATGTGTATAGTGTGTAATAACAACAATAGGAGTATGTTGGGAGCCACCATTTTGGTGAGGGAGGTGCATCATCTGCATGCCATGTCATGTTGTGTACTGGTGGCCACTATGGTCTTTTGGCACCATACTTGCTTATTTGTACAGGTATGGTGAATAAAACATGTAGATACCTATATATAATGTGCATATATAGTGTAATAACACCACAAACAGTATTGTTGGAGGAGAAATATTAGTCTTGGTCTTGTCTTGTCTTGAACCAATGAGGGCTTGTTAGACAATGAACTTGTCTAGTCTGGTCTTGAACCAATGAGGGCAACAGCCACCAGCTGACTGTGTGTGTAGCTATGTCTCTTATTGCCTGAACTCACCATACAAGCTTAGATGTACAGTTATGGTGAACAAAACATGTAGATATTTATATATAAAGTCTGTGTATAGTGAATAAAAGCAAAAACAGTATGGTGGGAAGAGTATGTTGGCGAGGGAGTCGTGGCGAGTGGGTGGCTGGCTGGTGAGTGGTGGCCACTCTTCGTTGCTTTTTGACTCACTATACCAACTTAGTGGTTCGTTATGGTAAACAAAACATGCAGATACTTACATATAACCTATGTGTATAGTGTAATAACAGCAAAACTATTTGTTTTATGAATATAATAGAATCACTAATATGCACACCATAATTTTGAGTACAGCGATGGTTCACACATT